TTTGGCTCGGCATGATCCCAGAGTCCCGGGATCGAGTTCCACATCAGGCTCCCTGCATGGAGCCTGCTTCTCCCTCTGCCTGTGTCTCTGCCTCTCTCTCTCTCTCTCTCTCTCTCTCTCTCTCTCTCTGTCTCTCTCTCTCTCGGTGTGTCTCTCATGAATAAATAAATAAAATCTTAAGAAAAAAAAAGAATTCTTCCTTGGTCTTTGGCTCCGGACCTCCCCTCAGCAAACCTCGCCTATATTCCAAAACTACATCAAAACACTGCTTTAATTGTTTCCCACAAGTTTTGATATGTCTTAATTCTCATTTAGTTCAGAAAATTTAAAAATTTCCATTGTAAAAAAAATAAAAAAATAAAAATTTCCATTGTAACTCTAGGTTATTTAGAAGTGCATTGCTTAATTTCTAAGAAGTTCAAGTTTTTTTAGCTTTCTTTTTATTATGGGTTCTAGTTTAATTCCAATATGGTCAGAGAATTATATTCTGAATTATTTTAATCCAGTGAAATTTATTCAGGCTTGCTTTTTGACATAGCATATGTTTGATTTTGGCAGATGTTTCACGTGCATTTGAAAAATGCTTATTTTACCATTGTTGGGTACCAAGTTCTATTGGTCAATTATATCAAGTTTGTTATTGTGTTGTTCAGATCTTCTATATCCTTATTGAGCTTTTTATAGCTTATATGAAAGATTGTTAGAGCATTAAAGACTCCCATTTTGGTTGTGGGTTTTTATATTTTTCCTTTTAATTCAATTTTTTATATATTTTGAAGTGATATTATTGGATACGTACAGATTTTTTTTTTCTAAACAGAGCAGCTCCTTTATTTTTTTTTTTATTTAATTTTTATTTACTTAGGATAGTCACAGAGAGAGAGAGAGAGGCAGAGACACAGGCAGAGGGAGAAGCAGGCTCCATGCACCGGGAGCCCGACGTGGGATTCGATCCCGGGTCTCCAGGATCGCGCCCTGGGCCAAAGGCAGGCGCCAAACCGCTGCGCCACCCAGGGATCCCCGTGAAAAGCCTTTTTATTGGAGAAAATAGTTCCATCAATTTCAGTGGAAAAACTGGTTCATTCCACCCAGCCCAATACCCAAACAGTATTTGCTGATGCAAAAATTTATTAATTGGAGGGATCCCTGGGTGGCTCAGGGATTTAGTGCCTGCCTTCCAGCCCAGGGTGTGATCCTGGAGTCCTAGGATCAAGTCTCCGGATCAAGTCCCACATTGGGCTCCCTGCATGGAACTACTTCTCCCTCTGCCTGTGTCTCTGCCTCTCTCTCTCTCTCTCTCTCTCTGTGTGTGTGTGTGTGTCTCTCATGAAGAAATAAAATCTTTTTTAAAAAAATTATTTATTGGCCAATAAAACAAGTCTATACTAAAGAAATAATTTGAATATAAAAATGAAATTTACATACATAAGTTATTGCAATAAAGGTTTATGGTCCTCTTTAAAAGAGAAAATGAAGACTTAATGAGTAGTAGAGGATAGTTGTGGGAGTCATTATTGAGAAAGGTACATTTTTCCTTCTGCACCATTTCTTTAGTCTTTTAGGTACTCATAGTTATCTTGGATTCAAACTACCTTTAAAAATAAAGTTATAGCACAGAAAAGTACATTGAGGGTAAAATAAATACTAAGCCTGAAAGCACTTCAAAATACATGGAATAGTTAATGCATTTAACAGACTGCAGAATCACAGAAGCTACTACCTCTTCAGCTCTTTCAATTGGCATGTAAATGCAAAACAAAGCATTTTGGGTTTAGCCAAACAAAGCAAATTTTTGTTTCCTATATTGTTGGGCTGGGAATATGTTTTTGCCAGAAAGTGTGAGGTGAGGACATCATTCCTTTTTTTTTTTTTTTCTAAGATTTTATTTATTTTTCATGAGAGACACACAGAGAGAGAGGCAGAGATACAGGCAGAGGGAGAAGCAGGCTCCCTGCAGGGAACCCAATGTAGGAATGGATCCCAGGACCCTGGGATCACACCCTGAGCCGAAGGCAGAGACACAGCTGGACGTGGGACTTGATCCTGGGTCTCCAGGATCACACCCTGGGCTGAAGGCAGGCACTAAACTGCTGAGCCACCAGGGCTGCCTGACATAATTCCTTATAGCATGTTTATGTGGTATGTTTAGGGATGAAAAAGTCATTATACTATCATAGAAAAAGGAGTGTTTTCCAAAAAGTAGTATAGCTTTTCAAGAGCTATTGCAAAAAAGTTTTTCATTGAACAGGTGAATTTTGTACACTGAACTTCACTTTGCCCTTTTTCTATATAAATATACATTAGAGTTTTTACAGTGGAGTAGCATGATCAGACCATACTTTTAAGAATTCTTCCTGAAAGTTGGTATGGAGAAGATGTATCCAGAGGAACAAGACTTGGAAAAGAAAGGTCAGCAGATTAATGAATATAACCAAGCAGGAGACAATGAGGTCAGTAAGACAGAACCGAACCCCAACAGAGGCCCAAATGCACATGGGAATTCTGAGAATGATAAAAGTGGTACTGCAAATCTATGGGGATAGGATGAGCTATTCAAAAAACAATGTTGAGACAATTTCATTTGTGGGGAGAAAAAGTAAAAGCTGGATCCATATTTCACTCCACATACATAAAGTGTAGATGGGTCAAAGATTCAAGTGTAAGGAGTGAAACAAAAAACCCCCCAAATTATAGAGAAAAACATGAGTGAACTTGAAAAAATAATCACTGAATGAGGAAGCAAGACATAAAACCCGAGAGTCATAAAGGAAAAATTACTACACACAAATTATGGACGTGGGGAAAGATACCATGCAAGTCAAATAATCAGCAAAGTGAGAAACAGTATCTTTAGCACATTGATAATTTCTTTTGGATTTGAAAAGCTCTTACAAATTATTATTATTATTATTATTATTATTTTTTAGCCCTTACAAATTAATAAGAAAGCAATAAGTACTTCATACAGGGCAGCCCGGGTGGCTCAGCGGTTTAGCGCCGCCTTCAGCCCAGGGCCTGATCCTGGAGACCAGGGATCGAGTCCCATGTCAGGCTCCTTGCATGGAGCTTGCTTCTCCCTCTGCCGGTGTCTCTGCCTCTCTCTCTATGTGTCTCTCGTGAATAAATAAATAAAATCTTAAAAAAAACACACACAAAACTTCATACAAATGGGTAATATATCTGAATAGGCAGGAAACAAACTAAGAGGTTTGACCTCACTCATAATTAAAAAATATATTTTGGAATAAGATGATAAGATACTCTTTCAAAACAAGGATGAAAAGGTCTACACATAGCTCAAGCAGCACTGTGGGGAAACAGGTCATCTATACTGTTGTAGTATGAATTGTAATAACCTCTGTGGGGACAATCAGTCAATATCAAATTTTCCTCAAAACCTTTTAGTGAGAGATCCCTGGGTGGCGCAGTGGTTTGGCGCCTGCCTTTGGCCCAGGGCGTGATCCTGGAGACCCGGGATCGAATCCCACGTCGGGCTCCCGGTGCATGGAGCCTGCTTCTCCCTCTGCCTGTGTCTCTGCCTCTCTCTCTCTCTCTGTGTGACTATCATAAATAAATAAAATTAAAAAAAAAAAAACTTTTAGTGAAAAATTTCAAATATACAGAAAAGTAGAAATAATTGTACAGAACTATATACTACACTTAGATTTTACAATTGTCAGCATTTTGTTATATTTGAAAAATTTCAAATATACAGAAAAGTAGAAATAATTGTACAGAACTATATACTACACTTAGATTTTACAATTGTCAGCATTTTGTTATATTTGCATTATATACCATGTATATATAAACATATCCATCTCTCCATCCACCAAGCCATCTTGCATTTTGATACATTTCAAAGTAAACTGCAGACATTGGTATACTTTATCTCTAAATATTTCAGCATACATATCAACTAGAGTTCAGTGTTTGTTTACAGTTCTTTTTTTGAGGGAAAACTTACTTTTGGTGAAATGCACACATTTTAAGTTGACCATTTAGAGTGGGTTTTTTTGTTTTGTTTTGTTTTTTTTAAGATTTTATTTATTCATGAGAGACACAGAGGCAGAGACCCAGGCAGAGGGAGAAGCAGGCTCCATCCCGGAACTCCAGGGTCACGCCCCGGGCTGAAGGCAGATGTTTAACTGCTGAGCCACCGAGGTGTCCCTTTAGCCTGTTTTTGAAAAATGCTCATACCTTTGTCATCCAAATTCCTATCAAGATCTAGGATATTTCCATCAGCCTACAAATTTTCTTCCTGTCCCTACCCCTAGGAAATATTTTTGACTATAGATCAGTTTTGCTGGTTCATGTAAATGGCATTATACAGTAGATACTCTTTTGTGTAAAGGGTATCACTTTCACTCAGCATCATGGTTTTTTGTGATTTACCCATCTTGCTATGTGTGTCAATTGCTCATTCCTTTTCACTCCCAAGTAGTATTACATTGTATGAATGTACCATACTTAGTTTATGCCTTCCCCAGTTGATGGACATTGGGTTTCCAATTGGGAACTATCACAAATAAAGCTTCTGTAAACATTGTCGTACATGTTTGAAGACATGTTTTCTCTTGGGTCACTTGATGGAGGGTCATAGACAGAATGTATATATGAGCCCCCCTGGGGCTCATAGTCTATTTTAACTTTGCTACAAGACCCTGTCATGAGTATGTACTATGTGACAGGTATAGAAAATGCATGGTGGGAAGTGTGAGAAGTGGAAAGTATTTCTAGGGGATAACTGGGGAAGGCTTCCTGGAGGAGGAGGCCTTGGTGCTGACAGTTAAGTAGGAGGATCAGGGTGGCTCTGGGTCAGACATGCCTACCTTCCTGTCTTATTCCCATAGGAAAAAGATCCTGGGAATCTCACTTTTTTTGGTTGTAAAATGGGGATGATGACACCACAAGATGTGACAGAGTAATGGGAGTCAAAGGCCCAGCCATGGCCTCTACAGGCACCTCTTCTTTTGTTAAATGTTCCTCTTTCTTCACAGGCCTTGCTCCTCTGGTAGCCTTCAATGTGGATGAGGCCCATCTCTGGGTGACTTCTGAGGGAGGCACACCCTATGTGCTCAGCTCCCTTCTGCACCAAGACTCCAGCACCAACCAGACCTGGTGAGTGGGGCCTGGCAGATGGGAGGCATAATTGAGGGCGCCTGTTGGGAGTCTGAAAAAACCCCAGAGAAAGGCAGCCTGGGTGGCTCAGTGGTTTAGCACTGCCTTCAGCCTAGGGCCTGATCCTGGAGACCAGGGATCGAGTCCCATGTCAGGCTCCCTGCATGGAACCTGCTTCTCCCTCTGCCTGTGTCTCTACCTGTCTCTCTCTCTGTGTGTGTGTCTCTCATAAATAAATAAAACCTTTAAAAACAAAACAAAACCCCAGAGAAGGCCTTAGCACCCCACCTCCACAGTCTGGGGACAACCTCCCTTCACTTTCAGAAGGGTGTGCCAGAGAGAGGCTATGATGGGTGCTCTTCGCTGCCGGGGAGCAGGGGGCAGGATATGACCTCAAAACTATTTTAAAATAAAGTTTATTAAGGCTCTTTTGCAATACATGTTCAGTATAGAAGTTTTGGGCAGTGGCAAAAATATCAAATTAAAAATGGAAACTATGAGGCAGCAGGGAATATGGTTAAGAGGCAGGTTGTGGGTCTGGTAGCTGTGGGTCAGTGATAGCTTTACTATGCACTTGTAGCAAGGTGCTCAACACACAGCCTATTTCTTATCTCTACAGTAGAGGTAGAGATTTTTCTACCTCACAGAGTTGTTGCATAAGATTATTTGAGTTAATGCACATAAAGGGTTTATTACAGTTTCTGGCCAAATTCAGGCATAACAAATATTGCACTGTTTTTAAAATCTCATCTGTACCCACCCATTAGATATAGGCCACAACTTTTAAATGTGACAAAATTCTGCTGATGAGGATGTGGGAAGTTTGGGGGCTGTAAATTGACATAACCAACTCAGAGGATAGTTTTACCATATCTGGTAATGTTGAAGATGCCTTTGACTCAGCCATTCCACTCCCAGATGCCAACCTTAGAGATACTCCCAGGCACATGTAAAGCTTTTTATTGTAACATTTCTTGGGATAGTATAAGACTGGAAATGGTCCTCATTAGGAAAACGGAAGAAATAAGCTGTGAATCAGACTATGTGCTCTTAGAAACAGGTCAAGTAAATGAAATGAGCACAGTGGTTATTAACTTGAATCATTCCTGAAACATAAGGTGAAAAAAGACAGCTGTAGAATTATATATACAATGGTTATTTACTCAACAGACATTTATGTGCAGCACCTACTATGTGCCAGGCCCTAAGATATAGCAATGAGCAAAGTAGATAAAAATTCTTATGCTCAGGGTAGTAGACAATGAGCAAGCAAGCAAAATATGTATTTTATCAGATGGTGGTAGTAGGGATATACTAATATAGAAATATATCTTTAATTTTGTCCCCTATTGTCACCAAAATGACTTTTTTTTTTAAAGATTTAATTTATTCATGAGAAACAGAGAGAGAGAGAGAGAGGCAGAGACACAGGCAGAGGGAGAAGCAGGCTCCATGCAGGGAGCTTGATGTGGAACTCGATCCTGGAACTCTGGGATCACGCCCAGAGCCAAAGGCAGACGCTCAACCGCTGAGCCACCCAGGCGTCCATAAAATGACTTTTAGAGCTGCTTTGTTTTGAAGCCAGGATCCATGTGTCGTATATTGTGTCTCTTTATTCTTTTTTAATCTAGAGCGATTTTTCCTTTCCTTTTTTGTTCATAATGGTCATATGGCTTTCTCTGTGCTCATTCTGTGACCCAGCCATGCTCATGCCCTGCCTCAGACCAGTCCCCTGCCTATCCTTGCTGCTTTGCTTCTAGTCAATAATCAAGGGTTTCCTTCTTACTCTGCATGCATGAGCCATGAGCCCAGTATCCAGATGGGCTTTGGGGCAGAGCCGAATGAGGCTCTGAAGGTTTCTGTCTGAGCAGAGCTCTCCATCTTCCCAAGTTGAGCATAGCAGAAGCTGTATTTGGTGGAGGATGAGTGGGCAGTAGCAGCTCCTGAGGCAGCCTTCTAGCCCTTGGACTTGGGCCATGACCCTACCAGCCGAGGAGGCTTGGACCCTCATTGTACAGTGAAGAGGCTGGTGACCATGGAAGTGGGGAGGGCAGGGCCAGTTTGTTCATTCACTCATATATTCAGCAACTATTTATGGAGCATCTACTCAATGACAGGCAAAGTATGGAGATAAGATAGTGAAGGGGAGGCACAGTTCTTGCCCTCATGGAACTCCCTGACTCAGGAAGGAGACAGACAAGGCAGGTAATGACAAGAGAAGTGACAACTGCTTTGGTGGGGATGTCTAGGGAGACATAGAGGCTGGTGTATCCTTAAGCCACAGGGTGTGCATCAACACTGGGACTAAGGAGATGAGTAGGAATTAGCGTGAGAAGGCAAGGGAGGGGAATAACCCAGCTGAGAGCGATGTGATCAGAAGCCTGGAAGCTATTCTGAGCAAAGTAAAGGAACAGAAAATGTCAGGTGGTTGAAGCTGAATGTAATGAGCAATAGGCTAGGAGAGGTGGGTAGTGCCTTGTTACCCAGGCACCAAGGGTTTTAAGAGCCAGAAAGGTTTGAAGCAGGAAGGGGTGGTGAGAAGGTTGTTAGCAAGTTTTTGGTTGCAGGAAGATGAATTAAAGGTGGGTGTTTGTTGTGTTTTTTTTTTTTTTTTGTTTTGGTAAAATTTTATGGATATTTGCCACACAGAAAAATGCATCCATTATAAGCACGTAGCTCAGTGAATGTTCACAAAGTGAACCACCTATGTAAGCAGCATCCACATGAAGAAACAGAACATTACAGGCCTCACCTAAGCCCCTCTAGCCTGGTGCTCCCATCCTGGCACATCCTCTGCCAGGAGTTAATCAATGCTCTGGCCTCCATCTCCCTGGATTAGTTTTGTCTGTTTTTGAACTTATAAACGAGGCATGCCGTTGTAAGGTCTGTTATGTCAGACTCCTCTCCCTCAATATACAGTCTGTGAATTTTGAATATGGTCTTGCCTGAGACAATGGTACTTATTCTCATTGCTGTAGTCTTCCATTGTGTGAACAGTGCTGATGATGGGCATTTGGGTAGTTTCTTTGGACAATTTTTTTTAAGATTTTATTTATTTATTCATGAGAGACACAGAGAGAGGCAGAGACATAGGCAGAGGGAGAAGCAGGCACCATGAGGAGCCAGATGTGGGACTTGATCCCAGGACTCCAGGATCATGCCCTGAGCCAAAGGCAGACAGACGCTCAACTGCTGAGCCACCCAGGCATCCCTCCTTGGACAAATTATACTGCTGTGCACTTTCTTTCGATGGGCAGCTTACTTCCTTTTATCAGCCATGTGCCTAGCAATGGGATTGCTAGGTCATGACTTACGCACTGGGCTGACCTTCAGTTTCCCAAACTTGAAAAGCATGAGTGTTCTGGTTGGTCTACACATTTGTGAAAGCCAGGTGTCAGTCCCAGTTATTTGTGACCATCTCTTGCCAACTCCCCTCCCACCAGGACCCCAGCAGACCCTCTCTAGCTCCCAGACCTGTGCTTCAGAGGCCAAGCTGAAAGGACATGGTAGATGAGAGGAGTTTGAAGCCCCTGGAGCAGGAGGCTATGACTTTCATGAGCTGGGCTCATGAACACCTCCCTGAACACCTGCTGAAGCAGAGGGGACTCATGGGAGGATGTGGTGGGAGGAACTTCTGGGTTCTTTGCCATAAATGGTAAAGCCTAAGACTACAGACGTCCTTCCATGCTGGGCAGGAAATACACTGCTGGCTGCCCCAGAGCCACAGCAAGCAGAAGAGGCTAGGCTCCCTGTGAAAGGCCGATGTGTCCCTCTCACTCCCTTGTGCTGTTTCTCCCTAAAATAGAACAGCCAGGGCTGGCAGCATCATGGGTTTGGTTGCTACAAGGTGAAGTGAGTGGAACATAAAGAAAGCCTTCTACACCTGAAACTAATATAACGTTGTGTGTTAATTATACTTCAATAAAAATGCAAATTAAAATAAAAATTTAAAAAACTATGACAAAAGTTGGGGGAAGGGATGTGGCTTAGTGGTTGAGGTCTGCATTGGGCTCAGGGCATGATTCCGGAGTCCCACATCGGGATCCCCGCAGGGAGCCTGCTTCTCCCTCTGCCTGTGTCTCTGTCTCTCTCTGTGTGTCCCTCATGAATAAATAAATCAAATCTTTAAAAAAAAAAAAAACTTGGGGGAAAAAAAGGAAGGCTTTACCCTTAGAGGTAAGTGAAGGCAGGAGATGGACTGTTTCTAGTACAGGGTATAATAGGGTCCCTGGGGCTGTCAGCTGATGGTGGATTTGGTTATTGATAGTCAGTCATTCAGTCAACAAACCTGGAGATTAAGAGACTACCCACCATGGGGAGTAAAATGGGAGGGTAACAGAGGCAGCTCAGATTGGATCCCAGGCCACAGCACTGCATGACTATGATATGAATGGCAACCTTGGGTTCTGCAGTGCACAGCTTGGACAGCTGTACATGATAGTCTCCTGAGAACTCGCAGTCTAGGTGAGGATGGGGGTAGGTTCCAGTAGTCAGGGCTACCTGGAGGTCTTAGAGGGGGTCAAGTTGCTCATTTTGGGAAGACTTCTTGAGGACTTGGTGTTTAGGATGAGTGTTGGAAGGAAAAGGAGGTGGGAATGAATAGCTCAGGCAATGGCCTGAAGGAGGAAGGAGAGTCAAAACTATTCCAGGCCTGGACCTACCCCACCAAAACACTGTCTGGAGTGGACACTAGTTCTGAGCCTACCTTTATGGGAGAAAGGGAAGTGCTAGACTGAGGGCTGAGGCTCAGGCTGGGGAGGAGTCTGGGGCAGAGGCAGGGTTTCTGAGCAAGTGACCTATTTTGGAGCTTGGGTCCAAGGCCCACAGAACTGCCCCTCTGCTCTTCAGCCCTACCCTACTTTAGCCCCCTTACCTGCTGCCAGGGTTCTCATTTAGTCAACACAACCATATTTATTGAGCTCCAGCTCTGTGCCAGGCAATCCTCCATGCTCTGGAAGTAACATGGTGAACAAGATTAGACATGATCCTTGAGGAACTTACAGTCAGTCTGGACAGGGAGACAGATAATAAGCACATAAGCACATAAGCAAGGAAAGAGGGTACTATCAGACATAACAAGTTCTGAGAAGGAAATAAAACAGGAAGACACGAAACAGAGTAGCTGCATTGTGAGGTGAGGCTGGCTGGAGAAAGCATTTATGAGGAGATGACAGTTCAGCAAGGCAAGGAAATGAAAATGAGCTAGCCTTGGGGAGTGAAAGGCAGAGCTTTTGGGCAAAGGGCACAGGAAGGCAGAGGGCTTGAGGCAAGCAAGAACTGGGGCTGTCAAGGAACAGAAGCCAGCCAGTATGGAGTTGGAGCTTGGAGAGTAAAGGAACGGGGAGAAGGGGTCTCAGAGGCAGGGAGGGGCTAGACCAACAAGGCCCTGTGGGGTACTACATCAAGGAATATGGATTATTTTTCTAAGCACATGGAGACTATTGAAGTAGGGGAGTGATGCAGTGCAAACTACAAGGGTAAAATGAAAAAAACAAAAACAAAAACACAAAACCACTACCAGTTAGGAGGCTATTACCACAGACCAGGCAAGATACTGGTGGCCAGGATGGTGATGAGGAAATGGAGAGAAGAGATGCTCTGTAGATATAATCTGGAGGAAGAACCCACAGGGTTTCCTGATGGACTTGATACAGGGATGAGTGAAAAGATGAAGCACAGATGCATCCAGGCTTCAGGCTACCATCAGTTGCCTTGGGGAAGAGGGAAAAGCATAGGTTTGGGGAGACAAGACTTCAAGTTTTGTTTGGACAATCTCAAGTTTAAGATGCCTATTAGACGGGGGCGCAGTTACGCATTGTACTTCTTTCCTGTTGCTGCTGTAACAACCACAAAACTTAGTGGCTTAAAACAACACAAATTTATTATCTCACAGTTCTGGAAGCCAGAAGTCCAAAATGGGTCCGAATATGCTAATATCAAGGTGTGTTAGCAGGGCTGTGTTCCTTCTGGTGGCTCAAGGGGAGAATCTGTTTCCTCACTTTTTCAGTTTCTAAAGGTTAACCACATTCCATGGCTTTTGTCCTCTTCCTCCATCTTTAAAATCAGCAGTATATCATCTTCAAATCTTTCTCTGACTCTGACCCTCTTGCCTTCCTCTTATAAGGACCCTTGTAATTACCTTGGGTTCACCTAGATAATCCAGGGTAATTTCCTTTATTTCAAGACCCTTAACATAATCAAATCTACAGAATCCTTTGGCTGTAAAAAAGTAGCATATTCACAGGTTCTGGGGATTAGAACATGAACATCTAGGAGTGGTATGTTAATCTATTTCCTAACAACTGTGCTGGTCTGACTTTTGGTGGAAGGATCCTAGGGCCACAGAATTTCAGCAGTTACAGGTTGAAGCCATGGGATTAGAGGGGATCAGTAGGGAGAATGTGCTGGTGAGAAAAACAAGGACCAAGCCTCAAGGCTTCAGCAACATTTAAAGTTAGACATTGAAGAAGCCAACAAAAGAGTCTGAGAAGGAGTATTGAGAGAGGTAGGGGAAATCAGGAAGAAAGTATTTCAAGGAGGAGATGGTTACATGTCCAGGGCTGCTGAGAGGTTGAAGAACATGAGGACAGAGAGGTGTCCATTAGATTTGGCAGTGTGGGGACCACTGCTGACCTTGACAGTAGCCTTATCAGAGGGTGGAATTCAGCTTGGAATGGGTTCAGCTGGGGCTGGGGGCCTATACACAGGCATAGACCTTATTATTATTCTTAATCCATGGATATAAGTAAATGATCTATTTCATAATTCTAATAGAGTGATAGGAAGCAAGCAAATGGAGATGGTACCTCATTCCTGCTGCCCAACCCACCATAGCGGCGTCATAATCTTTTGAAAGTACAGACTAACCCCATTATAAAGTCCTCCATGGCTTCCTACTGCCCTCAGCACAAAGATACCAGATGTGGTTCACAGTACCAAGCCCAGTCTCAGGGCCCCTTCCTCAGTACCCCCTACTCACAACCCAACCCCTAGGATGGGGAGCTCACACCTTGTCTTAAGGCAGACAAGTTCTCCCTGGAGAGTGTAGATAAAGGGAATGCTTATGCTGACACTGGACTCTGCTATCTCCCTTGACTTGGGTTGAGGGGCAAAGTTTACCATTGGGAATCATATCTCTAGAGGCTTTCTTAATGTGGCTGAGACACTCACTCTTCAAATCTCCATTTTTCTTTCTTTCTTTCTTTCTTTCTTTCTTTCTTTCTTTCTTTTCTTCTTTCTTTCTTTCTATCTTTCTTCTATTTCTTTCTTTCTTTCTTTCTTTTTTCTTTTCTTTCTATTTAAAGATTTATTTATTTATTCATGAGAGACAGAGAGAGAGAGAGAGAGGCAGAGACACAGGCAGAGGGAGAAGCAGGCTCTATGCAGGGAGCCCAATTTGGGACTCGATCCAGGGACTCCAGGATCATGCCCTGGGCCAAAGGCAGGTGCTAAACCGCTGAGCCACCCAGGGATCCCTTTTTTAGCCCAGGTGTCCCTCAAATCTCCATTTCTGACTGGCCCATAGGATAGGAGCATCAACGCGATTTCTTCAGGAAGTACCATCACTAAGGCCAGGTGGGGTAATTCCCCTGGCAGCCACTAGGAAGCCAGCACTGCCCACAACAGATCCAGCTGTCCTGCTGATGGCTTCCTGGTACCTATGCCCCTTGCCCCAAAGAGCAGAGAGTCTTTATTTACCATCAGTTCCACCCCCATTTCTATCAGGGTGGGTGAGCAGTCAGAGAGCAGACACATTTAACCGTTTCTCAACTGGAGCTGTATAAAGGTAAATGCTGAGCAAATGCCTTCCTCATAATACAGAGTCTGCCAGGGGTGCCTGGGTGGCTCAGTCGGTTAAGCATCTGCCTTTGGCTCAAGTCATGACCTCGGAGTCCTGGGATGGAGCCCCACATCCAGCCCGCTTTCAGCCCCACAATGAGCCAAGCATGGACATTCCTGCTCAGCAGGGAATCTGCTTCTCCCTTTCCCTCTGCCCCTGCCCCACCCTCTGCTCGTGCTCTCTCTCTCTCTCTCTCTCTCTCTCTCAAATAAATAAAATCTTAAAAAAACAAAACAAAACAAAACAAACCCCAAAAAACCAGAGTCTGCCTGCCTACCCCAGGTCTAGACCTCCTGCATTAGTTTTACAGATAGGGAGCCTGTAAGCTGGGGACTTGAGCAGGCAGAAAGGAGAAGGGAATCACTGGCCAGCTCAACTTTGCTGTCTACCTTCCCAACTCAGGCTCCTGGTCACCAGCCCTCAAACCAAGGGGAAAGCAGGTGTCCTGCATCGTTGTTCCCTCCTCCAGGATAAGTTACATTGCAAACCAGTAGGTAAGTCTACCTCAGCTCCAGGGAATGCTCCCAGGAATTCCTTCCAAGGACTCTCACTTATCTGGCCCAAACCATCTGAACCTAGTCTGGTCTCTCCACCCTAGATTCCACCACCATCCACAGCAGGCCTTCTATCCTGATGCTCAGTCCCATCCCATCCCAACCCAATCCTAATCCAATCCCCAGCCCACCTTTCCATATCCAGTCCTAACAAAAATGATACTTAAGATTTATTGAGTGCTCACCATGTGCCTGGCACTCTGGTAAGTACTTTGTTCACTTTTAATCCTCAAAATCATGCCATTTTATAAAAGAGGAAGCTATAGTTCAGAGAAGTGCTTTGATTGCCAATACAGCCAGGGTCATGCATCTAGCATTGGCAGCACTACAGCTGGCAAACCCAGCTCTATCTGATTCTAAAACCTACCCTGTCCCAACTCATCACACCCCAATAGAATTCAACCCTACTCCTTCCAGCCTATGGCCATCCTAGCATCTAGCATGAGAACTGGCATATATGAGGCACTCAATAAATGCTGTTTGAATGAATGAATGAACAAATGAGTGGACCTCATTCACTCATTAACCAACTCTACCCATCCCACCCAATCCAACTCAAGGCCTGCATTTGCTAATTAACCCTTGACTGTGTGTGGTAGAGTCCTTGTCTCTGTGAGAGACACAATGTTGAACAATCTCAGTCTCTGCTTCAGAAATTGAATGTAGGCTGGCAGGGAAACTGGGTGATCCTGTGGATCAAAAATGAAACTCCTGAGACCCATGGTGTAGAGGGAAAGGAGCAAGCTACACTTTCACTCTGGGGTCTTGGGGGCCAGTAAGATTTTCCAGAGACAGAACTTTGAGAATGGAGAGTTCATCAATCCATATAGCCAGTCCTTTAGCATCTTGCACACCTCCCTGGTGCTGCACACACCCACCAGCTAGTGCTTCTCTACCCTCCTGCCCCTCCAGACTGGGAGCCCCTATAAGAAAATGTCTCAGTTACTTCTAGATCCCTATCACCAACTGGCATAAGAGCAGACATCACAGGGCATTTGTTGGAATGAGTCAGTGAATAAATCTGAGATATAGGCACTTTACCCTGAGCATGTCCAGGCCTGTGCTTGAAGGCCCAAGCTTTCAGATAGCTTCTAGAGGCTGTTCTGAGTGGCCAACAGTTCTTTATGGGACCCTGACCAAGGTGGCCCTGTGACATCTGATCTTGGCTGTAGGGTTGCCCCCCAGCATCCCTCCCTTCTTACCTGGCCTTAACTGTTTCAGAGACTGTCCCCATCCCAAAGGGGAGGCACCGGGGAGTGACAGTTGTTCAGAATCACCGCAGTGTTTTGGTGAGTGTGCATAAGGTGGGACAATGGAGGGGTTCTAGTGAGGATGGCACTAACCCTGTGGTTGATAGTTGACCAGTGTTGATACAAGTCTGACTTGCATATTCTCAGGGCAGAGCCCAGCTATCTCCCCTGTACCAGCCCCAGGGCTGACCAAGGTTCTGACCTGGGTACTCCATGTGATGCAGCATACTGACCCAGGTGCTTAACCTTAAACTTTGACCCCAACATGACCCTACACCTGCTATTCCTACATCCTCTGCCTGGTTGATGCCCTTGATTCTGGCATAGGAGTGATGGTGTGGCTGTGTTTAGGGGGGGATGTACTGGAGGTGACCTAGGCTTTCCTCTCCCTTTCTCTCCCTCTCCCCTAGATCTGCATTCAAGTGCTGGCCCCGCAGCCCCACAGCCTCATTTCGGAACTCACAGGGACCTGCAGCCTACTATCCAACAACTTCCAAAACCACACCCAGGTCCACTTCTCCAACCTTGGTAAGGGTTGGACACCCTGAAAAGATCTCCTTGAGTCTCTAAGAAGACTCATGGGAGATGTAGAGGGACACAGAGGCCTGGAGAGGGCAAGGCAAGCCTAGGCCCCTGTGAAGGGAATCAGGGCAGAGCTAAGTGTGGGTCTACTGGGAGGTGAACAAGGGGGCTGACTCGAGTTCTTCCACATGTGTCTTTTAAAGAAAATCTGGATCCCAATGCACATGTGGATGACAGAGACTGCTACAGAAACAAGAAAGGCAGCATAGAGAAGACAGCCAGGTGGCGTCGGGCTCTGAAGACAAAGGAGGAAGTGGAGGAGGAGGAGGAGGAAGAGGCTGCTGGTAAGAAGAGGCAGATCTGGGTTGCTATCAGAGGCTGTCAGAGCTGACCCTTAGGCTGGCGACCTCCAGGAGTGAGGTGTGCCAGGTCTGGAAGATGGGGAATAGTGGCTGGATTCTATAGACCTAGCCAGTCCCAGCTCTGCCCCCCTCCATGTTATAGATGGATAAACTGAGGCCTAAAGAGCAGGAGCAATGGGAGTGACTCACTCAGCAAGTCAGAGTCTGAGCAGGCTCTGGCTCTCTTTGCCTCTGAGACAAAAGCTTCACTCTTGGGAACTTTACCAACATCCTCCCTGAACTGAGCTCTTAGGGCTTGAGTGGGGTGTGTGCCCTGCAAGGCAGTAGATGCTGCCTTCACTGCTACCTCAAATTCCATGTTCACTCCTGACCTGCTCTCTATCTAGGCCCAGGCACTGAGATTGCCATCATCCTAGATGGCTCAGGAAGCATTGATCCCCCAGACTTCCAGAGAGCCAAAGACTTCATCTCCAACATGATGAGGAACTTCTATGAGAAGTGCTTTGAGGTGGGCTTCCCTAAGAGGTAGAATCACACAGTCTATCAATTCTCTATTGCTATGAATAAACCACATCAAAACAACAACCATTATTTGCTCACAGTTCTTTTTTTTTTTTTTTTTTTTTTGGTCTTTGGTTTTGTTCACAGTTCTGTGGATCAGCTATTTGGGCTGGGCTTAGCTGGGTGGTTCTTCTGTTGGTCTTGCCTGGAGTTACTCTTGTAGCAGCAGACATCCTATTGCTTGATGGGATGACCTAAGATGGCCTTGTCTGGGCCATGTGCCTCTAACAGGCCAGCCCAACTTTTTCATGGCTGCAATGTTCCAAGGGGGCAAGACCTTGTGCATGCATGTACTTTTCAAGGTTCTGATTGTATCACATTTCCCAATGTCCCATTGGCCAAAGCTAGTCACATCACCAATCCCATAGTAAATGGGTGGGAGGAGGACTACACAGACACATGGTTTTAGGGAGAATTCTATGATTCACTGGGAAACATTACGATCATAGCTTCCTCCATCCCTACTTGCTTAGAGATTTCCCTCTGCCTTAGCATCTCCTCCTGCCTGGAGACAAGGAGAAATGAATAGATTCTTTCACTCTTTCCAGGGGAAGCCATCTAAGGGGTTGGGGATGCTTTGGGCATGGCAACTCTGCCAACTTCCTCCCCACCTCGGCTCTTCCCCTCCAGTGTAGCTTTGCCCTAGTGCAATACGGGGCAGTGATCCAGACTGAGTTTGATCTTCGGGACAGCCAGGATGTGATGACCTCCCTCGCAAAAGTCCAGAACATCACTCAAGTTGGGAATGTCACCAAGACCGCTTCTGCTATGCAGCATGTCCTGTAAGTATGAGGGTAGTGGGCATTACCTGAGCACCTACTACATGCCAGCTCATGGCCTTGCCCAGAGATTCTGAGGCATCATGCCCAGAGAGGTGGCTAGACAGAGCTATGAAGAAGAGAGAATGAGGTTCTAGCAAGGGAATGCAAGGTCTTTCAGTCTGGCCCTGGCTGATGAATGACATCCCAAGACATCCTCCAAAAATTCTTCTAAAGATTCCTGTTGTGAGCAGCAGTAGAACACAGTGCTTACAGGTATGGGCTTTGTGGCCAGGCTGCCTGGGTTCAGTCTCAGCTCCAATTTGTACTTGGGAGACCTTGAGTGAGTTGCCTGCCTATCTGTGCTTCAGTTGCCTCACTTTTTTTTTTTTTAAAGATTTTATTTATTTATTCACAAGAGAAACAGAGAGCGACACAGGCAGAGAGAGAAGCAGGCTCCATGCAGGGAGCCCGATGTGAGACTCGATCCAGGGTCTCCAAGATCAGGCCCTGGGCTGAAGGCAGCGCTAAACTGCTGAGCCACCGGGGCTGCCCACTCTTTCTTTCTTTCTTTCTTTCTTTCTTTTTTTTTTACTTTGAGAGAAAGAGCTCACGTATGGGAGCAGGGGTGGGGGTGTGGAGGAGGGGCAGAGGGAGAGGATGAAAGAGAATCTTTTTTTTTTTTTTTTTTTTTGAAAGAGAATCTTAAGAAGGCTCCATGCCCAAGTGGAGCTAGATCTCACAACCAACCCTAAGATCATGACCTGAGCTGAAACAATTGATTGAACCACCCAGGTGCCCCAGATGCCTCACTTTTAAAATGAGAATAAGAGGGGCACGTGAGTGGCTCAGTTGATTGAGCAACTGACTTGTAGTCCTGAGATTGAGTCCTGTGTCAAGCTCTGCTCTCAGCATGGAGTCTGCTTCAGGTTCTCTCTCCCTCTGCCTCTGAGTACACATGTTCTCCCTCCCTCCCTCCCTCCCTCTCTCTCAAAAAATAAATAATAAGTAAATAAAATAAAATGAGAATAATAATAGTATTTGTCTTATAGGATTTTGTGAGGATTAAATGGGTTAAAATATGTACAACGCTTACAACAGTACTTGGCATATAAGTAGTATGTAAATATTAGCCACGTTACTAATATCATTATTCACAAGAGTAGACTGAAGTGCTATCTAGAACCTTTCTAGAGGTGAGGGGCAGGGTGTGTCACAGCCTCCCCTCCACCTGAGCCTGCTATATGCCAAAGGGATCATCACCACCTCTCTTTGGGTTTTCTTCCCCATTTGGAGGAAGATCAGTGAATAAAACAGATCATATTCTGGGGAATAAAATTTCCCCAGAGCTCAGTATCCCCTTGGCAAAGTTCTCCTCTTCATTTACTGTTCTCTACTTAGAGACAACATCTTCACGCCAAGCCACGGCTCCAGAAAAAATGCATCCAAGGTCATGGTGGTACTCACCGATGGTGACATATTTGGAGACCCACTCAACCTCACAACTGTCATCAATTCTCCAAAGATGCAAGGTGTTGAGCGCTTTGCCATTGGGGTAAGAAGCAGGTGTGGGGGACACCTCCTGACTTTGGGCCATCTGGGCTGGGAAGGGCCAGGGTTCCTCACAGAGGCTTCTATAAACAGCTTACCGAAGCTTTGCTCTATTCACAGACACTCACCAACTACTCCCAGTCCCTATGTCCTGCACTTCCCCCATCCCATACTGGGTCTTCACACAGAGGGCTTGTTACCCAATGGTGGTCACAGCTCACTTGCCCAGCAGTGATGGGGAGGGAGAGCAGTGGACACTCAGGAATCCCAAAGGAAGGACCCTGGAGGAGATGGTGCTGAGCTGAGTCTTGGAGGACAAATAGGGGTAGCTGGCCTAGGGTGCAGGGGAAGTCGGAAGGGCTCTGCAGGCAAAAGGCACAGCATGTGAGAATGAGCCTAGTGAGAGAAGGAAGGAGTGTGTGCAGGAGAACAGGGAGCAGGGAATGAAGGCAGATGGTAAAGGGCCCTGAAGGCCAGCAGAGGGGTTCATCCCTCTCCCTGGGCCTTGAGAGCTCTTGGGGCCTGGGATCCAGTCAGATTTCGTGGTCCTGACCCACTGACCGAGGGCCCCTGTTGCAGGTGGGAAATGCATTTGAAAAAAATAAGACCTACCATGAACTGAAGCTCATCGCCTCAGACCCCGATGACAGATACGCCTTCAAAGTGACCAACTACACAGCATTGGATGGATTGCTGAGCAAATTGCAGCAGACTATCATTCAGATGGAAGGTGGGGGCTCCAGGAGCATTCCCCTCAGCATCTGGGAGGAGGCCAGGCTCTGTACTCCTGCCTCACTCCTGTCCTATCCCCATATGGCTCTCTGGGCAACTCCCACCACTTCTCTGAGCCTCAGCTATTCCATCTCTAAAAAGGCAACAGTATTCTCAGGCCCCTTACTTCCCCAGAATTCCCTGAAGCTGTGATGAGAAGTTCCTTCTGGTGCTGGAGATAGAAGGATGACTGGGGCATGGATCCTACTCTCAGAAGCTCACAGAAGAGGAAACTGGGGCCCAGAAAGAGGGAGTAAGCTGCCCAAGCTTACTTTGCCAGTAGCTACTAAAGCAGAACCAGGTTTCCATCTCAGCCTGGTGTATGTCCCATTATTCTGAATATCATTCACTCTGAGTGTGAGGTCAAACCAGGCCCTTACCTGACTTATTTTCTTCCTTCGTCTCAGCCCACAGCAGTGTCTCACTGGGCTTCTTGGCTTCTAGGCACAGTTGGAGAGGCCCTCCATTACCAGCTGGCACAGATCGGGTTCAGTGCCCAGATCCTGGATAAGGTATGTGGACAGCTTAGCACCAGGCAGGCTTACCATAGGGGAGGGGCCCTGGTGACAACCAGGGACTCAGGGATCTCTGGCTTGCATTATAGGGTTCTGCCCTCCTATAATGATGCCTCGGGATGATCCCTTTTAGGAGAAAGGAAAACACTTGTACTTGCTTGCCCTAATCTGGACCTTTGAGGTAGATGAAGGAATGGCCATATTTATTACAGGAGTCATTTTGTTCTGTGCTCAAGGATTGAACAGTTCCCCTTTAACATGTCCTGCTAACACAGGCTTTGGCTTGGGTCACTTGCCTACCAAGTTTTGTATTTTTCCTCACTAGAGGGAAAAGATACAGGCATGGTACGAACACCAGCCTTGCATGGAGGAGGAATTATGGTTAGCAAATTACTCCTTGTGTGCCAGGCATGGGCCCAGCAACCTGTACAGAAGGAGATGAGCTCATACTTTGTTTTAATGCTCACCCTCTGGGACCTAGGTCAGATTTCTGTCCTGGGGGTGACTGCCACTGGAGGGACAGTTGTCCTTTTTTTTTATTTTAAAGATTTTATTTATTTATTCATGAGAAACACAGAGAGGCAGAGACATAGGCAGAGGGAGAAGCAGAGTCTCTGCGGGGAGCCTGATGCAGGACTTGATCCCAGGACCCTGGAATCACACCTGTGCTGAAGGCAGACACTCAACCACTGAGCCATCCAGGTGTCCCCGGACAGTTGTCCGGATAGGGTCATGGGTACAAGGCAGGAACTGAGTATTTGCCATCTTACCTTCCTCCTACATTTCTAGCCCTGCCTCCCCTCTGCCTCCCAACCCCCCCACCCAGCTGGCCCCAGTCCCTCCCTCTCAGATGGCCTCCAACCCTTATTCCCTGTAGGGACAGGTGCTGCTCGGTGCCGTTGGGGCCTTTAACTGGTCAGGGGGCGCACTGCTCTACGACATGCACAGCCACCAGGGTTGCTTCCTGAACCAGACTGCAGCGGATGCCAAGACTGCACAGTACAGCTATCTAGGTGAGGGCAGGACCTGAAGAGGGACACTGAGGCTGGGCATCAGGCTATATTAGGCTTCCTACTTAGGGCAAGCTCTGGTCGGTCACAAGGACTGAGGGATAGGCCTTAGTTAGGGACCCTGAGGCTGAGAATTAGGACCTTCTGGATGAGGACAGGGCTTCCTCAGTACTGAAGCTCAGGGTGGCCTTGGGTGGCTACCTAAGGAGGCAGGGCCTCACCATTAATAGTGGTGGTGAGTGACACTTCACCCTTCTCCTTGGTCCTCATAGACAGTGTGTGTGATGAACGTGGGGGGTAAATGTGTGTGAAGAAGTGCATTTTGAGTGAAGCTGTATATATGAGAGTGTACACATCACTTCTGTGTGGTGAGGCATATGTATGTGACCAGCCATAGGGGGTAAGTGGGAGCACTCTGATCAAAAGGATGAGAAAGACAGTTTCTCCAGATCTGCCCCCCTGCCCAGGCTACGTTGAAGGACTGGCTGGGAAAGTGGGGGGTGGGGGGTCAAAGGAGTGGCCCAATGGGAGCTCACAGCCACAACCACCACCACCCCCTCCCAGGTTATACAGTGGCCCTGTTGCACAAGACCTGTGGCCTCTCCTATGTGGCTGGGGCACCACGGTACAAGCATCGGGGGGCCGTGTTTGAGCTCCAGAAGGAGGGCAGAGAGACCAACTTTGTGCCAGTGCTGGAAGGAGAGCAGGTACCTGCTGGAGAGGGACACCCTCATTATTATAGATGGAGGGTCTGGAGGCCCTGGAGGGGATGGGACAGGCTCCAAGGCACACTGTGTCATCAGCTCAGCCTAGACAGAACTCAGGCAAAATGCAGTGCTCTGTATGTCTGATTGTCAACTGGCTTCCCCCATTGTGGGGGATATGGCTGCTCATCCATAGAAGAAGCTCATCCAGGCTTCTTTATTACTCTGGTGAACAAATTGATCTGGAATGACCTAAATGGTCCAGGAAGAGCAGGAGCAGGATCTAGCCTTGCTAAAGGGTATCAGAGGAAGCCTCCCCAGCACCCTTGTGAGCTGAGTTCCTTCTGGGCCATAGATGGGATCCTACTTTGGCTCTGAGCTGTGCCCTGTGGACGTTGACATGGATGGGACCACAGACTTCTTGCTGGTGGCTGCTCCATTTTACCACGTTCACGGAGAGGAAGGCAGAGTCTATGTGTACCATCTGAATGAGCAGGTGGGAGTCTTCGTCTTTGCAAGCTTGCCGAGGTTGTGGCTGCTCAGCCTGGTGCAGAGCTGTTGGAGGTGGGGAGGGCCCTGACCCTGCCTTGCATGGAAGGACAGAGATGGGATGGTGGTCAAGTTGGGCATCATCACCATTCCTCCCATACCTCACTTTCTCACTTTCCCCACCCCATAATTTCGTTGATGATAACGTCTCAGCGGCACAGTTTACAAAGCATGTTTGTCTATGATCCCACTTGTTTCTCACAGTAACTGTGTCACTCCCATTTTACAGATGAGGAAGCTGAGGCTCAATGATACTGAGACTTGCTCAAATTTACATAGCAAGTGTGTGGTAGAGCCAAGGCTAGAACCCAGGCCTCCCAGCTGCCAGTCCAGTACCCCTAGCTGTGGGAACAGAGAGGGCGGGCTCTGGGTCCTGACCACAAGGCAGGAAGATCCCAGCTTTTCCATGCTATCACTATGTAACGTTGGGGAGGTCCGTTGCCTTTTCTGAGCCTCAGCCTCCCTGCTAGAGAATCAGAAACAAGTCCAATGAGCATGCCTCCTGGTGTAGCATGGGTACATACCCTGCCTCCTCTCTTGAGGACTGAGCTGCCTCTTTGCTTTACAGAACGGTTCCTTCTCCTTGGCATGCACACTGAATGGGCACCCTGGATTCACTAATGCCCGATTTGGCTTTGCTGTGGCAACAGTGGGGGATATCAGTCAGGATAAGCTCACAGATGTGGCCATTGGGGCCCCCATGGAGGGTTTTGGGGCAGATGACGACACCAGCTTTGGCAGTGTGTACATCTACAATGGACGTCAGGATGGCCTTTCTACCAGCCCCTCTCAGGTAACCTGCAGGGCTCTCTTCAGCCTCTGCCTGGGATTCTGACCTCTCCTACAAGTGATGGCCTGAGCCCCAAGTCAGCTCCAGTTCTAAGTGTCAGGCAGGTCCCAAGGGGTCAGGAATGCCTAGTGCAGGACAGAAGTCACTTGGAGGTTACAGGCCAGGGCCTCACCCCAGACACTTCCAGCGGGGTAAGAAGTTGTGGCAACATCTTCTGACCTGTATTTCCCTTTTTTGGCATTCCGGACCATGGACCTGCCTTAGATTCTCCTTCCTCTCCTTCTGACCTTCTCTGGCTCCTTCCCCAACCCAACCCCTCCATGCCTTAACTCTCATCTTCCAGGACTCTATTGCCAGCCTCTCATGTTACGTATTTTATGAGCACTTTTATCCACCTTAGACCACAGTTTCTCTCCTAACTTCAGTCCTATATGTCCAGCTGCCTCCTGAGCACTTTACTGGCTGGGCCCCCAGGCATCTCAGTCTCATGCTACCTAACCCAAAGCATTCTCTTTCCCCAGACCTGCTCCTCCTCTGGGCCCCTTCCACTCATTAGCATGCTTGTCCTAATGATTCTCTCCCATATCCTGCCCCAGGCCTGGCTCCTGTTTCTCTCCATTCCCATCACTGCTGGCATGGCTCCTTCTACTCTCCATCTTCTACCCTGTGTCTGATTAGACAGGCCCCTCTCACTGCCCAGCCCCTCACCAAGCCTCCTTGTACCCAATCCCCTGTTGTTCCCACTGTAGTGGCCCCCAGCTGTGTCCTCCAATGGCCCTGCTACCCCCCCCCACCCCTGCTTTCCTCAGTGCCCCCGTGTCAAGTCTTACCTGCCCTTTAGAGCTCCATTCAAATGCTACTTCCCTTGGGAAATCTTGCCCTTCTCTTTTCTTTCCCCAGTTGAGGGCTCCCTGGGGTGGGAACCCTCAATCATATTGATGATCATACTGATTTGAATAAAACCCAAAAGGACTCCCCTTTTCCTCCTCCATGCCTTGTGTTTCTCCCTCTACAGCGGATCAAAGCCTCAGCGGTGGCTTCAAGACTCCACTACTTTGGCACATCAGTGGCTGGTGGCTCAGATTTCACTGGTGACGGCCTTGTTGACATCACCGTGGGTGCTCTGGGCCGGGCAGCTGTGCTCCGGTAGGGATTTGCCCTGCTATCTAGGATCCTAAATCCCAGCCTCACCTAGTTGCCCTGACTTCAATGACCCCTCATGAAGATACCAGGAATTGATGGGAGGGAGTAAATGTGGTTGTTAAGAGCAATGCATTCTGGAATCTGCCCATCCATGTTTGAAACTCAGCTCTCAATGAACCATGTGCCCTTGGGCAGGTTATTGTATTCTGAGTCCCAATTTTGTCATCTATAAATAGGAATAACAATAACATTTACCTTAGAGAGTTATGAAGATTGAGAGAATCTTAGCAAAGTATTTGGTATGGTTTTTGATGATGATATGAATTTCAGAGTGTCTGTGCTCCATCACTAAGTGAATTATCAAACCCCATGGCTGTAATACTCTGGCAGAGCACTTATCTGCCCTGTGCCCTCCACTAAGCTCCAGACTTGGCTGTTGCTATCAGGCATCTCAAAGTTAACATGTCTAAAAATGGACCTCGTATTCTCATTCACTCCTCATTCTCCCAATCTGCCCTTCCCCGGGCTTTCCAGCTCAGTAAATAGCACCATTTGTTCAGGACAAAATCCCAGGAGTCATCCTTGGTTCTTCATTTCTCCTTCTGCTTCCCCATTAACAGGATTTTGTCAGCTCTGTCTCCAAAATACCCCCCACTACAAGATGTTGTCATCTCTCACTTGTACCACTGCTTGGCATTCTTCCCTCCTCCCACTTCCTGTGCCCCATTCTCCACACAGCTGCTAGAAGAATCCCTTTATTCTGTGCTTAAAACCCCTCAGTGGCTCCCACTGTAAAGAACCCAAATTCTTTACAGTGGCCTACCCTCTCTGTGACCTGGCCCTGCCCATCCCTTCATCCCCATCTCCCATTACTACCCTCTGTCTCACTAACTGTGCTCCAGTCACGCTGACGTTTGTGTTCTTCAAACAAACCAAGCTCATTGCTGCCACCCCGTCCTTTGCACTAGCTGTGCTTTCCATTTGGAGTGAGGTTCCCCTCATCTTCACGTAGCTAGCTCTTGTTAACAGATCTCAAATGTTATCCGGGAGGCCATCCTGATCACCCAACCTAAGTAGCCTCCAATCTCTATTACCTTATTCTATATTATTATCATAGCATTATCTGTACATAATATTTTCCTATTTCTTCTTATATGCTTCTTGTCTGTTTTCCCACTAGAGAAGCGACTTGTCTCTTTCCCTACTATATCCCAAAGATGCAGAACAGCATTTCATATATTGGAGATGTTCAACAAATATTCATTGGATGAATGAATAAGCTGAGCACTGAAGTCTGTCTTACGGTCACTTCTCATAGTTCTCTTTGCTGTCTTGTTTAGCTCAAGACCTGTGGTTTACCTGAACGTGTCCATGACTTTCACTCCCAAGGCACTACCCATTGGCTTCAACAGCAGTGTGAATGCAAGTTTGTGTTTTGAAATCAGCTCTAGGACCACAGCTACTGAGTCAGGTAACAGGCAGCCTAGCTCCCCACCACCTCCAGTGTCGTGATCATTCCATTTTGGCTTCAATAGGGACAGGGAAAGAGGACTGCAGGGGGAGGGGTACAAGGAATGTTATGAAGTCCTGGCGCTTGAAATCCCTTTATTAGAACTTAGTTCCTTTGACATTAGGTTCTCTTTAGTGGGAAGTACCCCAGGAAAGGGTGACCTACTGTTAAAGCCATATTACGAAGGGATTCATCTGACCCCTGCTGGGAAGAGGGGATTTGGATCCCTTCATCAAGGTTGTTGGATTGAGTTTCTGAAAGAACACAGAAAAAAGCAGCCATGTCTCCATCTCCCATCTCGTCTATTCTATACAGTAAGGGAGTTGGCCCAGGTACTTTGTAAGGTGCGTCCAGTTCTGCTATCTCAGGTTTTACTCTATGGTTTCTCTCTCCATTTTCTGAATTATTCTTCCTCCTCATTTTTTTCCCTTCAATAGCAGCCTCTTCTCTGAACCCTGCTTCCCTTGGGAAGACTGACAGCTCTGGGAATGTGCTGCTTTGGGTTTTGGGCTGGGTCACTGAGCAACTCTAACTGGGTGCCAGAAGACCATGAGAAAAATACTTCTGAAATGAAGAGACTCAGGAATCCAGCACAAGGAACTGGGTGGGGACACCACTCAGGAGGGGCTCATAAGGAACTGCAGGCAGGTGAGGGACCCTCTGTCTAGGGCTTACCCACCCTAGCCTCATCAGGAAGGTCTGGTCTTCATTACTAGGCTCCATAAAGATGATTCTGAACTTCACCGTGGATGTGGACGTGGTGAAGCAGAGGAAAAGGCTGCAGTATTCAGACAAGAGAATTTGTCAGAGCTACCTTAGAGAGTGGAATGACAGCGTGCCCTGTCTTTGTGAGCCCCTTCTGCTCATTCCCACAGAGGGAGAGGTAAGTGAAGGAATTTAGAAGAGAGTCCAGAAGAGTGTGTGCATACAAGGAAGGATACATACCCAAAACAAATTAGACAATTAAAATAATCCTAATAGATCAAAAATCACATAGTGGTATGAGAGATGGTGTTAATTGTCATAGTACTGCACAGTAAAGAAATCCGCTGAAATTGAACACTGACTATGCCTCTGAGCTTCCTAGAAGCCAGACACAAAGGGAAATGCTCTAATGGCTGACATTTTTCTTGGTAACAAATCCCTCTACCTCATGTCATCTCACCTCACCTGGTAGTAGCAGTGGGGCTGAGTGCCCTTAATAAATAAATATCAGAAAAATTGAATGAGGGAAAGAAATAAAGACTAAAGTTATCATTTACAAAGGTTTATTCCTGACAAAGGTGCCTAGAGACATAAAAGAAATGTATTTGTCAGGTTTCAGAGCCTGACAGGACCTTGAAGGACCTAGGAGAATAATTTATTCCAGTAAACTCATATGTTATGCTTCTACCTGCACATCTGTTCTTATGTCTATTTAGAGTGTTAATTGGATTAAGAAAGAGTTTCTAGCAAGTCTATGCCTTCCTTAAATAAAAGCTACATTTTCCACACAGGAATCATGCTCACTTACCCTTAGATGTTCAAAGCTCCTACCATGGCTGAAAGGCTCACTTAATGGCCAATGGCACCCTATGCAATCTCCTCATCTTCAGTTTTTTACTTTTCTAATATATCCAGTGTGCTTTGAGAAAGATCTTTATAAACATAAATGTGACCATGATTCTTCCCTTCTGTGGCTTCCATTTGCCCTCCAAAGGGATAGGAACCATCAGGAGTTATCAGGCCTGAGGCCTTAGCAGATCAAGTGAGATTTTCCCAAAGCAACTTGGTTGAAGTTTCCCTTCAGGTTGGCTTATTTGGAAAAGGCTTATGACTTCTGAATCACCACTTTCATTGTTTATTTCTTATTATGACTACATCAAAATTAAAATGATTTTCCTTCTCATCTCCCTAACATGCTACTCCAACCTTGCATTACTTGGTAACTGTAGCTCTGTGAGGATGACCACTTCTCCAACATCAGTGTCAACGTCAGCTACCAACTCCAGACCTTGGAGGGCCAGAGGGACCATCCCCACCCTATTTTGGACTTCTACACTGAACCCTTCACCATCTTCCAGGTGACTCAACTAAGTGAGAATCTCCTGGGAGCCAACCCCAAAAAAGCACCTGTTCCTCTAACTTCAGAGAATGTTAAAGTGGGGGGGGGCTCAGACAGTATTTGGGCCTCTTGCTGTTCAAATGGGGAAACTGAGTTCCTGAGATGGTGTTAATTTGCTCAGGGTCTTACTGGTCTCCAAACCACATGCAAAGTTAGTTCCTTTATGTTCACAGAAAACATGCTTGCTATATATTTAATGATGCATAGGAATATGTTGTTTGACTTGGCAAGAGTCTCTGATGATGGTGTGGTGGGGGTCCTGTGTGGGGCCTGGACTGGAGCTAACCTGCTCTGTGCTGTAGACAGGATGCCCTTTAGTACACCTGTCTACCCAGGTCTTGACCATGACCTTTGGGCTGAATGTCTAGCCTATGAAACCTGTACCCTGACAGGTAGGTAATGTCACAAGAAACTTCTCTAAGGGAACTTCTCTAAGGGATAACTAAGGGAAATCAGAGGTCAAAATAAACAGTCAGATTTTCTGATTCTTTGATATCTTAGGTAATTTGGTTCCCACCTAGGCCCTGGCCCCCATGGCATTCTGTCAGTCTTCATTTAGAGGGTCTTATGGCATATAGAAAAGTCAGCAAGATCAAAGTGACAACATGAGCATTTAAAGTAATAATTCTAGTCAGCTGGAATGAACTGAGTCTCTAAAAAGAAAAAGGGGTGCCTGGCTGGCCTACTCGGTAGAGCATGGGACTCTTGATCTCAGGATTGTGAGTTCAAGAAAAAAGAAAAAGAAGAGGGGTGCCTGGCTGGCCTACTCGGTAGAGCATGGGACTCTTGATCTCAGGGTTGTGAGTTCAAGAAAAAAGAAAAAGAAGAGGGGTGCCTGGCTGGCCTACTCGGTAGAGCATGGGACTCTTGATCTCAGGGTTATGAGTTCAAGCCCCACACTGGGTGTACATCACCCAGTGGCCTACTTCAAAAAATAAGTTAAAGAAAAAGAAGAAGCCAAAAGCAGCTTATACTGGCACAGAAAAGCTTCAGGTAGCATGGGTGATTATTTCCAGGTAATCATAGGACACTCATGACTAATTTTTTAAAATTATTTATTTATTTATTTATTTCTGAGAGAGAGAGAGAATGAGCAGGCACAAGTGAGGTCGGGGAGGGCAGTGGCAGAAGGAGAAGGAGAAGCAAACTCCTCAGTGAGCAGGGACGCCCCCCACATCACCATTGGGTTCGACCCCAGAACCCTGAGATCATGACCTGAGCGATAGGCAGACACTTAACTGACTGAGCCACCCAGGGGCCCCTCAACTGTCTAATATTTTTACAACAATGCTCTATATAAATTAAATTGTATAATTCTTTGGCTCAATTTTGGCCAATATCCAATGGATCAGTCACAAATAGCAAATAGAATTAAGACAGTAACATAATCAAGTTACTGTTTGCTCATCTGCTCAGGAAGAGGGAGAATCAGCCTCCCTATGAGTGAAGATCATCATCTTAATTATGTTTGGCAAGAAATTTTATTTTAAACTTATAATAGTGGGGGCAGTCTGGGTGGCTCAGTGGTTTAGCGCCGCCTTCGGTCCAGGGCGTGATCCTGGAGACCCGGGATCGAGTCCCACGTCAGGCTCCCTGCATGGAGCCTGCTTCTCCCTCTGCCTGTGTCTCTGCCTCTCTCTCTCTCTCTCTCTCTATCTCTCTCTGTCTCTCATGAATAAATAATAAAAATCTTTAAAAAAATTAAAAAAGATAAACTTCTAATAGTATATTTATTTTGTAAAATTTTTTTTAGAATTTGTATTGACAGCAAGTTAGATGATCCAGAACAGATTAGGAGAAATAATGAAACAAAATTTCATGAATAAGTAGATTATCATTAACTGTATATATATATATTCTGGTTTTTAGAACCTTGTTACTTTGAAATATTTGGTTTGCTAAAAACCTAAAGAATAATCCAAAGAATTCCCATGCATCTTTTATCCAGATTCCCCCAAAGTTACCATTTTGACATTTTATCATATTTGTTTATCATTCTCTTTCTCATGCTATTATACACACACAGACACACATATGTGTATATATACATATCACACACTTATATTTTGCAACCTTTGGAGACTAAGTCACAGATATGATACCTCTTTACTTCTGAATACTTCAGTATATATTTCCTTTTTTTAAAAAAGATTTTATTTATTTATTCATGAGAGATACAGACAGAGAGAGGCAGAGACACAGGCAGAGGGAGAAGCAGGCTCCATGCAGGGAGCCTGAGGTGGGACTTGATCCCGGGACTCTGGAACCACACCCTGAGCCAAAGGTGGACACTCAACCGCTGAGCCACCCAGGCATCCCATTCAGTATATATTTCCTAAAAAAAATAAGGGCATTCTCTTACAAAACCACAGTACAAGGACCAAAATCAGGAAATTAACAGTGATAAAGTGTTACTGTCTAGTAGTGTACAAGCTTTATTCAGATATCACCAGCTGTCCTATTAATGTCATGTATAGCAAAAGAGTACATTTTTTTTCTGGTCCAGGATCATTCATTACATTTTTTCATTACTTATCTTTAGACTCCTTTAATCTGCAATGGTATTTCAGCCTGTCTCTGTCTTTAATGACTTTATCATTTTTATTTATTTTTTTATTTATTTATTTTTTTTATTTATGATAGTCACAGAGAGAGAGAGAGAGGCAGAGACACAGGCAGAGGGAGAAGCAGGCTCCATGCACCGGGAGCCCGACGTGGGATTCGATCCCGGGTCTCCAGGATCGCGCCCTGGGCCAAAGGCAGGCGCTAAACCGCTGCGCCACCCAGGGATCCCCGACTTTATCATTTTTAAAGAGTCAAATAACAGGCCAGTTATTTTGTAGAATATATTTCCTCATAACTACATTCAGGTTATACATTTTTTTGGCAGGAATATCACAGAAGTGAAGTTGTTTCCTTCTAGTTGCACAGCATCAGGAAGCACACCCTTTGATTTGTTCCTTTGTAATTAATACTTATCTTATGGGGAGATGCTTTGAGATTATGTATTTATATCTTACATAACATCCATTCATGATTCTTACCTTAATCAATTATTACTTTGATGGTCCAAAAAAGAGATTAAAAAAAATATTCCACCAATAAAATGGGGTGGGGGGGTGGGGGTTATTTGATGTTGGGTTAGGCACACAGATGTTTCCAAAGAATGAGTCTAGCTGGTAGTTTACATGGTTTAATCCTGCTCTCTTACACTGGGGTTGGGTGAAAAAGCAGGCTACCTGACTATATTAAAAGTAAAACTAAAAAACAAATAAACAAACAAACAAACAAACAAGAAAACCTGCCTCAAACTATTAACCAGCCAGATTAGAGCTCCAAGATTTGACTTCTGCAAACTGCATCTCCTTTTCCAGGAAGTAGGTTTCCTTTCTAGCATTGAGCTCCTATTCCAGCTCCAGGCCATGGTAAGTCTTTGCAGAAGCTGTTGAGGTGGTCACTGGGTGTTAGGGATGTAAATACAGAGATTTTCCTATTAAGGAGCTGGCTATGTTTCCCTCATAAGAAAAAAGAGATGCAGTTCCTTTCCTACAGAGAAGACTGGCCACGGTGGACAAGAACCTCACAGGACTGACCTGTTAATACTTAAGCATCCCCTATTCCTGCCCCTGCTGTTCCTGTTTCTACGTAAAAAGACTAAGGAAGCTTTTATTCACTTAGGTTTTCCTCCCCAAAATGTTTAAAGGAGTATGTTGTGAGCCTTGTGGCTTAATTCACGTGATATAAATGTGACAGTCACCCCCACCATTCCATGAAGGTCACTCCATTTTTTGCCTTGGCCAGAGGCCTGAGTCATGGTGTACTGTGTTGTAAGAGCAAGCACACTCCCTATCCCCTACAGGTCAAGGAATGTCACAGTCACAGCTCTCTTGGCCATATGGGCACAACCCCAGCCTATTAGACTTCACTTGCTCATACCTGTACTTCTCAGAGTCTAAGGAAGAAGAGGTGTGTCCTAAGGAGAAGATCACGAGGCAAAGCTACTGGGGATGGCGATGGTGGTATCCCTGGGCTGACCCCTGCTTCTCTCTGTTTCGTTACAGCTGCCCTATGAGAAGGCCTGCAAGAATAAATTTTTTTGTGTTGCTGAGTTTCAGATGGTCACCACTATCTCTCAGTGAGTTGGATCTAGTCATCAGAGTTTCTGCAATTAACTTCTTCCTGGAGGCTTACCTGGGCAAACCCCTCATCACAATTGACTTTTTCTTGTGGCCCACAAAGGGCTTTGCATTTATTTTCTCACTGGGTCCTCAGCCACACCATGAGGGAGGCAAGAGATTTGTATTCCTGTTCTATAGATTAGGGAACAGACCCAATAGTTGAGGGACTGTGGGGTCACAGTGGTCATTTGGTGGACTTAAACCCAGGTCTCTTGACACTGGATAATTTTGTTTTCATAATGCAGTGTTTCTTGCTCCTAGGACTACCTCAGTTAGAGTAGCCTCTTCCTTGGCTCACCTCATAACCAAATTACCTAAGTAATTCATTAAATACTTATGGAGCATCTCCTCTGTGTCAAGCACTCTATACTGGATGCTGGAGATACATCAGCAAACAATACAGACTAAAATTCTTGCCATTTGGTATTTTAGGAGGAGAAGATAATAGGTAAATTTTATGTTGATGAGATGTATTATGAAGAAAAGGCAGGGGATCCCTGGGTGGCACAGCGGTTTAGCGCCTGCCTTTGGCCCAGGGCGCAATCCTGGGGGCCCGGGATCGAGTCCCATGTCGGGCTCCCGGTGCATGGAGCCTGCTTCTCCTTCTGCCTGTGTCTCTGCCTCTCTCTCTCTCTCTCTCTCTGTGTGTGACTATCATAAATAAATAAAAAAAAAAAAGAAAGAAAGAAAAGGCAGGGAAGGTGGGAGAAAGTGCTGGGTAGGGGTGGGTTGCAGTTTTCGAATGGTCAATAAAGGGCTCACTGAGGTGGTGTTTTGGTGCACAAAGGAAGAGGTTGAGGAATGAACTATATGAGTGTCTGCAGGAAGAGCAACTGCAAATGCCCTGATCTGGGAGCATGGTTGGAGGTAGAGGGACGGCCAGGATACCAGTGTGGTTGCAATAGAATAAGGAAGGGAGAAAGGTAATGTCAGGGCAGGAAGAACAGTTATTCGGGGCTTCTGAGGCCCTGCTTAAGGGCTTTTACTGTGAACTAGGAAGCTGAAGAATGACAGGATCTTACATTTTGACAGGCTTGTTCTTGCTGCTGTGTTGTAGACTGCAAGAGCAAAGATGTAAGCAGGGAGATAGTAAGGATCTATTATAATAACTCAGGTAAGAAGTGATGATGACTTGGGCCACAGTGGTAGCAGTTGAAGGTAGTTCTTTTTTTTTTTTTTTTTAGTTGAAGGTAGTTCTATTTTGGAATTAGAGCCCACAGGATTTGATGACTGATTAGATGTGGGGAGTGAAAGAGAAGGGTCTAATGTGGCTTCCATCATTTCATCCTGAGCATCTAGAATTTTGCTGCCCAGTACAGTAGCTACTAGTCACATTTGGCTATTTAATTAAGTAAATTAAAAATTTAGTTCCTCAGTTGATCTAAGCACATTCAAGTACTCAACACTCACATATAGCACAGATATAGACTATTTCCATTACTGTAAAAGTTCTGTTGGATCACACTGAACTCCAGAACAATGGCACTGCCAAGAACTGAATTGAGGAAGCCTTTAGAAGGATGATTTTGGAAGGCAGGGTAGAGAGGAAGAGATAAGGAGTTTGGCTTTGGACATGAGATGGTCTTAAAATGCCCTCCCCAGCTACTAGTGTTATATACGTAACATGGTGGCCAGAGTTGGCCTCTGTGGGGAAGAACACTGTTGCCTGAGTCCTGGTAAGCCTTTTCATAGAAATTTGTAGGACTTTGGATGGCCTAGCTCATATCAATTACTAAGAATCCAATTGAAGATTTTTGAGTGCTTTGGAATCCAGCCTAATAAACAGATGCAGCTGTTTCCAACAGGAATTAATTACAGCCAAGAACTTCCTTCCCAGCCAACTCCTTGTGACATATAGAACACACACAACTGGCCCTCCATTGCCCCCTAGTGTAAATAGAAAGCAGTCTTTTCTTTTTCCAAAGTATTGAGTCTAATCTTTAGCATCTAAATATTTCAGTGTTTTCCACCTTTTTTGTGGATATAGATCTCCTAAAGAATCTAAGGAAAACTACAGACCCTTCCCCCTAGAAGATCATATGTGAATATGTAAGTGTTTGTATTTGGGGCCCTCTGAAACTGTCCATGGCCCTCAGGTTAAGAATCCCTGTGAAATATTCCAGTGGCTCTCAGATCCCTCTCCTGGCCTGGACTCTAGAACAGTATATCCAATAGATGTTTCAACATCTCTACCTTTTTTTTTTTTTTTTTAAATTTACGATAGTCATACAGAGAGAGTGAGAGAGGCAGAGACACAGGCAGAGGGAGAAGCAGGCTCCATGCAGGGAGCCTGACGTGGGACTCGATCCCGGGTCTCCAGGATCACGCCCTGGGCTGCAGGCGGCGCTAAACCGCTGCGCCACTGGGGCTGCCCTCAACATCTCTACCTGGTTATGCCATAGGTACTTCTCATTATATCCTTGACTGAACTTGTCTGGTCGACTGCCACCCTCTGGTCTTCTTCCAGTGTTCTCTCTCATGAATAGCACCACTTGGTCATCTGAGATGAAAATTCAGCCTTCATCCTTGACCCCTCTCTCTGTTGCTCTTGTTACCATATTTGGCTTCAGTCCCCTCTCTGTATCCCCACCACTACTGTCTTACCCAGGATTTCCACTGCAGGCTCCAGCTGTCTCGGTTCCCGACCCCCTCCTCATCTATCTTTTTCTCAGCTATGATAAAACAAAAACAATATAACAACAAAACACATGTCACATTGCTTCCCAGAGCTTCATATTCTGTTTTTGAACAGTTCAGATGGCTAGATTTTCTTTTCTTTTCTTTTTTTTTTTTAAGATTTTATTTATTTATTCACTAGAACACACAGAGGGGAGAAAGAGAGAGAGAGACAGAGACACAGGCAGAGGGAGAAGCAAGCTCCACGCAGGGAGCCCGACGCGGGACTCGATCCGTGTCTCCAGGATCCTGCCCTGGGCTGAAAGCGGCGCTAAACCACCCAGCCACTGGGGCTGCCCGCTAGGAGATTTTCTTTGTATTGTTAATGTTTTTCTGTAAAGCTCAATTGTGGACAGTAGTATTATCCTCTGGGGCCCCACAGCACCTCTGTCGACTGAAGGAAGCTCTCACAAACCCTCCAAGTCTTCTCTTCTCCAGTCTGAATAGATTGTTTTAAACTAATCTTTAAATTGGAAGGGCCTGAATGATTTTGTGGATGGGAGAGCTGAGGCCAAGAAAGGGGTAGGGGCCGTACCTGTCTCATGCACCACTAATCTTCAGTATTGAGCAGAAGTATCTGGCACAGAGAAAGTACTCCATAACTATATGCAAAATGTATGAATTTGTGTTTCATGAAGTGTCTTGCCTAGGGTTGCACTGAATTGGAAGTAGAAAGAGGATTTAAATATAATTTTCCCAACCCTCTTTTGGGATTGCTAGACCTTAGGCAAATGAGTTAGACTCTCTTGGCTTCTGTTTGCTTTTCTATGAAATGGAGAGTAACCATACTATTTTATAGGATTATTATGTGGATTAATTGAGGATGTGAAGGATTTCATTTAGCATATCATATAGTAAGCACCAAATAAATGGTAGCCATTATCATCTCATACAGCAACTGAGGTGGGTGTGGCAGTCCAGGCATTTGCTTATGTTGAGGGGAAGAAAATCTAGGCTAAATGTATCCTTTAGGCAATTTAAGGAGTTAGTTAAGAATGTGCTATTGTACTGCATTGAAGTTTTTACAGATTAAATAAACTGGTAACATGTATCTATTTGCCTACACTGTGCAGACAGGAATTGGTGGTGGGTCTCACAAAGGAGCTGACTATGAACATTAACCTAACTAACTCTGGGGAAGATTCCTACATGACGAGCATGGATTTGAGTTACCCCAGAAACCTACAGTTTAAGAGGATACACAAGGTAACTATGATGGCAGTTTTGGAAACATGCCACTCATGGCTTTCCCCCCTGTATACCTTCTTTTTTTTTTTTTTAAGATTTTATTTATTTATTCATAAGAGACACACACACACACACAGAGGCAGAGGCAGAGGAGAAGTAGGCTCCAAGGGAGCCCGATGTAGGTCTCAATCCCGAGACTCCAGGATCACACCCTGGGCTGAAGGCAGCACCAAACCACTGAGACACCCGGGCTTCCCACCTGCTTTTTTTTTTTTTTTTTATGGCAACCTCCTAACTGGTCTCTCTGCCTCCAGTCTCATCCTGGTCCATCCAATAAATTATTATTGATGAGATGAATCCCCTCCAATCCAACTGCATGCTGTGCTGTGAGCCCAGTCACACTATTCTCTGCCTACAGAATCTTCAGTGCTGCTGTTCTGCCGTCACTGCTTCTTGCCTGCACCCTTTCTTAACCAGGGTTCTGAGATGGAAAGAATTTCTAAAACAAGAGTCTGCACTGGGAAAGTAGTTTGCCCTGCTACTCATTAGCCTGGGGTCACAGACCCAAAGCCAGCTGCAAGATAACAGGAAACAGTGTTTCTCCCAAGGGCATCCTACAGCTGTGAAGTATTGTAACACTGAGAAATATTCTCTAAAATCATAGGCAATCAGAAAACTCTGCTGCTTGAAGTTCTGTCTGTAATTATGAAACTATCTCACTTGACTGGAGAATATTAAGTCACTTGGAAGAGAAGTAGTCTCATTTTCCATCTGAGGTGCAGATCTTCAGATAACACACTTCTGGACACAACTTTACAAATCCACCCTAAGAGTTTCCCAGTGAAATGAATCCCTGGGTCCAGACCTGATGCTGATTGACCCTTTTACACACAAAACCTTGCTTTACTTTGAGCCCATCAAAACTCTGCTTTACTTTTCTTTTTTTTAAAGATCTTATTCAGGGGAATCCCTGGGTGGCTCAGCGGTTTAGCACCTGCCTTTGGCCCAGGGCGTGATCATGGAGTCCCAGGATTGAGTCCTGGGATCGAGTCCCGTGTTGGGCTCCCAGCATGGAGCCTGCTTCTCCCTCTGCCTGTGTCTCTGCCTCTCTTCTCTCTCTCTATGTCTATCATAAATAAATAAATAAATAAATAAATAAATAAATAAATAAATAAATAAATAAATCTTTAAAAAAATAAAGATTTTATTTATTTATTCATGAGACACACACACACACACACACACACACACACACACACAGAGGCAGAGACACAGGCAGAGGGAGAAGCAGGCTCCAAGCAGGGAACCCGATGTGGGACTTGATCCCAGGACTCCAGGATCATGCCCTGGGCCAAAGGCAGGCACTAAACCCTGCTGAGCCACCCAGGGATCCCTCTGCTTTACTTCTCTATCGCCTGAACTCCACCTTCCCCAGAATCCTTTAATAATTGTCTTTGCTTTTGTTTGGTGAGACATACCACAGTGCAGTTTTCCTCGTTGTAAGGAGTCAGTAAATCTGGCCTTTTCTTTCTTTTTTTTTTTTAAAGATTTTATTTTTATTTATTTAGGAGAGGCACACACAGAGAGAGAGGCAGGGACATAGGCAGAGGGAAAAGCAGGCTCCTCGCGGGAGCCTGATGCGGGACTCAAACCCCAGACCGGGAACACGCCCTGAATTGGAAGGCTGACACCTAACTGCTGAGCCACCCAGGCATCCCAGCCTGGCTTTTTCAAGCTAGGTTTGTCCCTAGGGTCTTAGGCTAGGGACAGGACAAGAATTCATATATGAAAATAATGAAATTATAGGCTTCTATAGTGGAACTAGTGCTGTGCTACCCTTGGGAGAATTAAAAAAATTGTCACTGAATTCACCTTTCCACAGTCAGTGGACCAGTAGAGGAGCCCTGGTTGAGAAAGGCTATGTGGCAGTGTTGGGCTCATGCTTACCTTCCAGCCCATCTCAGTATGTTAAGTTTGCATTGGTACAGTCAAATGTCTCCTTCCCCATGAAGACTTTACAGATGCCTCCTTGTTGGATTTCACCTCTTTCAATATTGTTTTTCCTTGTACCTTTCACAGAACCACTCCTTAGGCCTTGTATTTAAAAGTTCCTCAACCATCTACTACTGATTCCTCCTGCCTAGCTTGGGAGGAAGACAGAGACCAAATCTGATTTGCGTCCCAAAGCTCCTGGCAGATGTCTGGCATGTAGAAAATCAGTCAATGTTTGTTGAAATGGTGTGAGGAAACTGCTCCCTTACTTCCTCTTTAAGAATAGTGTCTTCTTTGTGTTAACAGCCTCCTTCTCCAGACATTCAGTGTGATGATCCTAAGCCAAATGCTTCTGTGCTGGTCATGAACTGCAAGATTGGTCACCCTATTCTCAGGAGGTCATCTGTGAGTGTTTTGATTAGCTGACTCTTGCTAACTTGGAGGTGGTGTCTCCTACATCTCAACTGAATCTTAGTTGTGGTCTCCACATTTCTCTTTACAGTAATAAATCCATAGCAGAGCTTAGAGATGCCAAATTTGCTCTCAAAGTAGGGAGTGGTGGGGTGGGGAATATAGCCATAAACTGTTGGCTCACCCCCATATAGCAGTGTGAAGCTGGGAGTAGTATAGGAGGAGCAGCAGGCCCAAAGTTACTAGTTGAGGTGAGTCCCCCATCTGCCATTGATGACCTCTGTGCTGTGGTAAAGCTCTGAAGTGGTTTCCTCAACTGTAATAGGGGAATAATGCTGTCTGCCCTGCTTACTCTGTAATGACATTGTGAGGCTCATGTGGAATAATAGTGAGGCTCATGCTGTGCTACAAAAATGTGAGGCCTATGAATTGTTTCCCAGGTCTGTTTAGTTAGTAGGAAGCACTTTAAATTGTGAGTGGCATAGAGAAGAATCAAATGACCTTTTCTTTCTCTTTTTTTTTCCATAGGGAAACTTTTCAGTAGTTTGGCAGCTAGAGGAGAATGGTTTTCCAGAGAGGACAGCTAACATCACTGTGGCTGTCTCCAAGTAAGTAGTTCCTGTGTCACAGCAGGCCCAGGCTGTGGCTCTGGAAGAAGTCTCCCTCCCACGTGCATGTGTAAGAACTCCATAGCTCCAAGAGCTCCATCGCTGCCCAGGAAGAAGGGCCTTAGTGAACCCACAGAAATAATCTGCTGCTGCAGTGACTTGGCTTTCCCTTCTTGTTTTCAGAGATATTTAAAATGTTCTTTTATTGACACACAGAACAAAACTACAGTATGATCTGGTAAATGAGAATTGAACATAAGTTCTAATTCTGGTTCATTTAACTCTGGAGAAGCTCTTTCATCTGCAAAGCTTCTGTGTATTGGGGGTAGGGTATAATGTTGGTGAAGGATTCTCAAATGGGGATGACTCTGCCCCTTGGGGGCAATGCCTGAAAATACTTTTGGTTGCCACTTGTGGGATGAGGGAATGCTTCTGGTATCTAGTGGCTAGAGGCCAGCAATGGTCGTAAACATCGTACAGTATAAGGCCGCCTCTCAAAAAATATTATCTGGTCCAAAATGTCATTCTTGTTCAAGATTGAGAAACCCTTTTAAAATCAGTGTTTCTCCAAGTATGGTCTTCTAGCAAATCTTCTGCACTCTAATTACTTATCTTCAAGCATCTTATCTGACTGACCCTCATTGACCCTGAGAAGCCAAGGTATATAAACAGCTATATACAAAGTGGGTATGCTGTCAACTGACACTCTTATTTCCTAGTTTCAATGAAAGAAGGTCTTTGGTCAGAGAGATCAGCCTTCAATTCAAGCATGTCTTCATTGCAGTTCTGCCCAAGTAAGTACTTCCAAGGGGCCGACATCTGTAGCTTCAGGTGGTCAGGGTGGATGTGGACATTCCTAGCGCTGATGGGAGCCTGCTTAAAACCTGGACTGCTCCTGATTGCTGGGGCACTAACAGTTGGGTCCTTAGAAATCCTCTGGGTAGTGATCAAAGGAGGAGCAGGGCTAACTGGTCTCAATACTAAAGATCACTGACATAATGCTAACAAGTGGACAAGAGGAGCTGTGGGATTGAGAAGGGAGGAGAAAAGGCCGCCGAGGACTACTAATCAGACACAGAACCAGCCCAAAGGCACAGAATCCAAGTATTCCACCTGACCCACACTGCCCTACCACCACTTTACATTTTGATACTCAGCCTTGACTCTTCTTAAGGACCTAGAGCCCTCTGTCCTAGTGTACCCAGGTGGTAGCATTCAGGCTCACTTGAAAGAAGGGGGCCCTTGAGGCCTAACAAATACCCTCTCATTTGCAGACCTTCAGTGATGTACATCAACACAAGCCAGGGGCTTTCTGTCTATAAAGAATTCCTCTTCAACGTAAGTATTTAATGCTTATTATTGCAAAGTTACAGTTGGCAAAACAACACCTGAATTCCCACTCTCTGATTTTATTTTGTAGATACATGGGGAAAATCTCTTTGGAGCTGAATTCAAGCTGCACATTTGCATTCCAATCACATTACAAGGTCACCAGTTCATAAGAGTGAGAAACCTTACAAAAATTCAGGTACTTGGAGATATTTCTTTATCATGATCACATCTTTCCAGAGTGACTGTGGATTCTCAAAGGTATAAAACCAGAGTTCTAGAAAAGGAGTAAAACTAAGTCTAGTTAACCTGGGAACACATTAGGAGTAAATTGCCAAAATCATCTTCACAAGAAATATCAACCATTCAGCTCTTAAAGCAACACTTATTTTCCTTCCCTCGATAAAAAATTAGCAAAAATTCAAACCTTCTTAATACCCATGGAGACATTCATTTGCCCTTTGAAAAACTGATAAATTTTGCTTCTCTTTGTGATTGGCAAATAAGCTTGATAAACAGGAGCTGTTTCTTGAACTTCTCCCTATAAATTTACCATCTTCCTTTCCTCCCTCCAGTCTGTCTCTGTCTCTGGTTTGCTATAGCCTCTTCGCCCTCAGCTGACTCTCCATCTGTAGTATGTTTCCCTTATGATACCTACAGCAACAGGTTCTGATCAGTATGAAAGTTGAGGCCTTTGGCTTTCCTGAATATTTTGTTTTTCTTTTTGCTCAGGATACATGAAATGTCAAGGTAAAAAAATTAATATATATAAAAAGGCATTTATAGAATGGACTCTGTTGACAAAAAGAAGGCTTATAAATTGTAATTATTTGTTCCCATGCATAGTTTATTTTTAAAGAACATTTGTTAATTCCCAGAAACATTCAGAATGGGAATTCCACTTTGCTCTGGGAATGGAGACTGAAAATAATAGCATCAGAGGTTTTAAGACCAGTACCCTCTGTCTGGGCAGTAGGGCACCTCCAGCTTACTTGAAGAGTCTGTGTTGGTAAAGCAAGTCAGTGGCAGAGCTGAAGTTCAGCATTGTCCTATAGAAATGCTGGATCTTTCTCTTCATTTGTTTCATGGCAGGGGTGTTACATTTAACCTTGAAGGTCATCTGTTTCAGAATCTTATCTGTGAGGTAATGGAGCCAGAGCACATTATTATAAGGATGATATTCACCCCAGCAGTTGTTGTTCTCCTTCCTCATTAGCCTGTAGATCTCAAACTGGTAGTCACCTTCACCTGTAAATAGGTCCTCATCCATGGAAATGTCACAGAACACCACAATTCCATCCCGCTCCAACCGTGACAGGGTGTAGTCAATGATATTGACTTGCAGTCCATAGGTGGGGATGGTGCTTGTCTTCCCATTGAGGGTGTAGCGGAGCTCTTTGACTCTGGTTTTCTTTAAGAGCACGTTCCCCCAATGTAAGTCTCGGTGCTCAAAGTGCAGTGATGCCTCTGCCACTGCGAGGGATGCAGTGATCTGGTGTAGAATGCTCTTTGCAGTAGCCATGGAGGACAACTTTGTTCTCATTTGCTCTAACTCAGTCCCTCCAAACTCAAATTCCAGTACAATGAAGAGTTGGTCTTCCTCAAAAAAGTCAGGCCGGTCATTTGCAGACCCTTTAGTTGAGTTATAATGGTCCCAGGCTCTGAGGAGCAAGGGAGGGTAAGATCCTTGAACACAGTGCACGGAGTTCAAACCAATAAAGCCTTCTGTACGGTTGTATACCTCATTAGACAAGAGGCTCAACTCTTTGGAGATGATGATCTCTGGCAGAATTTCCTCAAAAGTTTTCTGATGGGCTCCATTGACTAGATCTGGTCCTTCAATAGCAATGATTTTTAGGGCAACAGGTGTGTGGTTAACAATTGTTTGAAACACTTCACCAAACACCCCTTCCCCAATCTTCTGACAACACTCAAGTTTTTCTGTGGAGAGGCAATAGCTAAAGGGGACAGGACCTTCCTGACTGCATTCTCCATAAACCTTTGCAGCATCAGATGCTTTTTTGTCTGTGACATGTAGTGTCTTTAAGGGGGTTAGCAAATACATGGAAGAGTAGTGCCAAGGAGATAGAGCACTATTTGTTCTGTTCGTAACAGGAGGGCTTGAACATTCAGATATGAGGGACCCAGAGAGAGAACTGGCAATGGTGTGGCTGCTGCATACTTCTGACACAGCAGTCACCATCTTCTTCTTGTGGAGACTGAAGGAAGCCCTGGCTTTGGTCCAAGAGCAGGAGTTTTGTAAGTGAGTCAGGTCCTGTGTGAGGAATGAGTCTTTTTCCATCTTTTGGCTCTTAAACTGGTGGCAATGGATAAGGGAGGTTTCTACTGTTTCCTCAAGTTTCCTTTTTCGCCTAGGCCTGGTTCTCTCAGGCCTGTTGATTTCTCCAGATACAATACAGCTCCTGAAACCGTCAGCCTCCTCACAGTCCATCTGGGCAGCCCCTGGAGACCTCACCTCCTGACAGGAGTCGTGGCCTGTGGCCCTCTTCTTACCCATGTTTGATAAACCTGGCCTCTCCAGACTCCCCCTTGTCTGCTCCTTTTCACAGCAAGACCCCCTCATATTCCTCCCATCTGCTCCAAACTCAGAATCTTCAGAGTTTCCAAAGTCCATAATATTAAAGAGAGCTGACCTGACGCTCGCACGGGCTTGGTGGGCCAACCTGGTGAACCTGCCTCCTCTTGCTGCCTCCTGGAAGCCGTGGAGGGGTGGTGTGTCCAGGGAAGCTGCTGGGAGGTGCAAGCCGCCCGGGACTTCAGAGGCCACATCCAAAGAGGCGGAGGGTCCGGTGCAGAGGACACTGTCTCCCGGGGATGGGGGGCCGGGGCCGGGAGAGACCGGACTGCTGAAAAGGGAGGCACTGGTGCCCAGCTCGCCGCCGTCGTCGGGCTGGCCGCACGCACTGAGGTCCGGGCTGGGGCGGCCTGGGTCGTCGCTCGGGAAGGGCGGCGGGCGGAGCGGGCCGCAGGGGGTGCTGCACTTCTGCGGGGGCCGGGCTCGCAGCCTGAGGCGTCGGGGGGTCGCGATCAGACTCGGCTGGTCCTTGGAGGCTCTGCCGCCCGGGCGCCTGCGCCGCGGACCCGCCGGAAGGCCGAGGAAGTCAGGGTCGTCGGGATCGTCGGGATCGTCGGAAGTTATAGACCCCGAGGGGCCGCCGCTGCTGGCGTCGCTGCTGCTGCTGCTGAAAAAACGCTTCCGGTCTTGCGGCGGGAACCACTGCGCCGCTGCCCGGTCCGGCCGCCGCCGCGGCCTCCCGCCGCCCACATTCCCGTACGTTCGGAAGAGCCGATTCCGGGGTAGCGGCACTGAGGCTGCCATGGTCGGTACCCGCCCGAGGTTCAAATGCAAACACCGCGAGACTTCCTTAAGGCCGACGGGCGGGCCGGCGCGGCTGCCGGGTCCTAGCGTCCGGCCTGGCGCCTGCGCATCACGACGGCTCGCGGGGTTGGTGGGAGCGCGGCTGGCGGGCTCGCCGCGTTGCGTCCTCTTCCCCGCTCGGCTTGGCTCTCGTTTCAGGCCCACACTGTGTGCAAGCAGGGTCAGGAGGAAGTCTGTGGGAGCGATCGTGCCCAGGTGAGTGCGGCCGTCCTGAGAGGCTGAGGGACGGAGGAGGGCCCGAAGCGGGTGACGAGAGCCGGCTACTCCTGGAAGCGGGTGCGGGCTGGCCTCAGGCGCGCCTCGGCCGGCTCTCCGCGTCAGGTAGCTGCGGACCTTCGCGGGTTGCCTGAGCCAGGGCGGGCGCTGAGGCGTTCACACCCTCTCTTCGGGGGGCCTTAACGTGCCCCGGCTGCTAAGTGTTAAGCTTTTCAGCTTTTCCACCCAGAAAGGGACTGTGCTAACTGTAACCAGACTTTCCTTTTCAGCATGTGGAAAAATGGCATTCCGTGAACTGTACCATCACTTCAAACAGAGAAGACATAACGGTGGCTGCAGAGCTGACCTTGAATCCATCTCGGCAGGTATTTATTTATTTATTTATTTATTTATTTATTTATTTATTTATTTATTTATTTGAGAGACAGACAGACAGACAGACACAGGCAGAGGGAGAAGCAGGCTCCATGCAGGGAGCCCGACGTGGGACTCGATCCCGGGCCTCCAGGATCACGTCCTGGGCTGAAGGCGACGCTAAACCGCGAGCGACCCGGGGCTGCCCTGCCCCAATCTGTTCTTTACTCAATTACTCGGAGTAATTCGCTAGGGCAACTTACTGTAGTTACTTACCTTAGGCAGTATTTGTGACTCCTTCCTTTCCTGCATCCCCATATCTATTCCAGGAACAAGCGCTGTCATTCCACCTCCAAAATGTGTTCCAAACCCATTCACTTCTCTCCATCTCCACTGCTGCTGTTGTAGTTCAGGCCACCACCTTTTCCCCAGGCTACTGCAGTCTTTTCCTCCTGTCTTTGTTCTTGCCATGCTCTTTACAAATCTTTTCTTCACATAACAGCTATTTTTTAAAGTAAATAATGTGCCATGCCTCTGAAAAGAAAAGTGATATTTGAATACACCTAGAGTAAAACACATACTTTTTCAATGGCCTGCAAGGCATTGCGAGATCTTGTCTCTGCCTCTTCAGCTTTATCTTCAAGTGCTCTCCTCTTTCCCGCTTCTTACACTCCAGCTATTCTGTTATAACAGTCCTTTCTGTTATATTATTATCAGTATTATCCTGGCCACAGGCTCTTTGTACTTGCTGTCCCTTCTGCATGACGCTGTTCTTCCCCTGTATCTTCATGTGTGTGGTTTCTTTTTCTTTTTTTTTTTTAAAGATTTTATTTATTTATTCATGAGACGCAGAGAGAGAGAGAGGCAGAGACACAGGCAGAGGGAGAAGCAGGCTCCATGCAGGGAGCCTGACGTGGGACTTGATCCCAGGTCTCCAGGATCAGGCCCTGGGCCGAAAGGCGGCGCTAAACCGCTGAACCACCTGGGCTGCCCATGTGTGTGTGGTTTCTTATATTTAGCTCAGATGTTACCTTCTTAGAGAGGCATTCCCTGATCACTCAGTCTAAAATGGGCACTAGGATCAAGTTTTAGTGGCCCACATGAGAATGATGAGATCTGAACTGCAGAAGTAGCAATGAGGAATGAAGAAAAGGGACAGATGTGAGAAAGAAAAAAAAGAATCGTCAAGAATGATTTGGGGTGTTGAGTGGGGCTGTGATGTGAGAGGTAAAGTGTAAAAGAAAAGAAATTGGGAATGACTGCAGGTTTTTTGCTTTGGTAACTTTGTGGTTGTCAAATGGATACTGGAGAAAGAACATGTTTAAAGAAAATGATGCTGTCCAAAAACAATACGTCCATGTCTAAAATATATTTTATCTACTCTCCATTTTCTAGTTACTGAGAGATGTATCTGAACTGCAGATCCTTGGTGAAATATCTTTCAACAAATCTCTATATGAGGGGCTGAATGCAGAGAATCACAGAACTAAGGTAATCCCTGGCTATATTCTGGTTTTCTGGGCAGTGTCCTGGAGAAACTGTGCCTAGCCTTAGAGCCATGTATCCATTTCATCTGCATGAAGGGAAACTCCCACTAATATACCACCGTAAAGGCATCTGTTTGTCTGGTCAACAGCCTGGCTCCTCTGAATGTTGTGCCTTACAATGTGTTGACACTTAACCTAGATGTGTTTAAGTTGCAGCTGCCAGCAGCAATGACTTGAGAGAGAATACATCTGTGGGCTCTTTAATCAGGCATGATCATTACTGGAGGGAATGTTGACAGTGAGACTGGATTGCTAAATATTAGGTGCACTGTTTCCTTTGAGGAGAAGAGAAAGAAATAGTTCTTCAGACATGTCAGATATAATGTTTCCTTTTATTTTTAAGTATTTCTAATACAGAAAATTATATGGAGGAAAGAGAAGTGCTCCATATCCCACTGCCCAGATTTAAAAAAAAAAAAAAAAATAGAAGAGCAAGAAAATCCAAGCCTTACAGAAAAATATCAAGTGAAAAGTAAATGGTTCCTCATTACCCCCTTTCCCATGCCCCCAGCTCCCTCTTCTCAAAGAGTATTATAGTTAAGTTTCTTATATATACACATCTGTAAATAATTTATTTCCCCTTGTTATTGATGTTTTTATTTCTGTACATAGATTTCCCCATAATGATTTTCCTTTCTTTAATAAATTCAATACCCTATGCAAAGTATTAAGTTGTTCCTGACAATAAACAACTAAGGTAGAATGAACCTGAGTATAAATAGCCATGTATCCATTTCATCTGCATGAAGGGAAACTCCCACTAATATACCATAAAGGCATCTGTTGTTTGTCTGGTCACAGCCTGGCTCCTCTGAATGTTGTGTCTTACAATGTGTTGGTGCCACCTTCCCTTGTGGCCAGTACAGAGATGCCATCTCTCCCAGTGCTGTGTTTTCATGTGGCAGGATACAAAATAGGGAGCAAGAGATAGGTAGCAAAAGGATTTTTTCTAAGTGTGCCTTCTTTTAGGGAGGGAAATTTTCCTAAAAACTCCTAGCAGCTATCTCTTTACATCTTTCCAGTTAGAACTAGATCTCATGCCAGTCACTGGCAAAGAGGAATAGATCTGTCATGATTAGCTTAGACCAGTCATGATTTCTGAATGAAAATTACAAGGAGAGGATGATTGCTGGGTAGGCCACCATCAGTATTTGAGTACAAGCAGTAGTATCCTGTGTCCTGCTCTCTTCACCTTACTAGGGTAGCTTGGGGGCAGTTCTGCAGCCTGTGGATTTAGAAGAGGGAAAGGAAGAGGCTTTGAGAAAGAGTAGCGTTTCTTCTACTCGAAAATGTCCTATTACACCACTGTGACCTCCAGACTTCCTTACATTATTTTCCTAAACCCAGATTCTCAAGTCCTTCCCCCCTGCAATCCTCTACTTCACTCTTCTGCAGAAGAAAAACCTGGTCTCTTCATGTTGTTCCTCCTTCTCTGTTGCTTTGCTCCCTCCTTTCTCAAGGCCCAGAATTTACTTCTATTCAAAATAATTGAATCATATAGTTGCCTGGAGGGTCAACTATAGGAAGTAACTGACATTTATTACTTAATTGGAAGAGGCCTTAAAGGTAAATTTGTTTAGGGGTGCCTGGGTGGCTCAGTTGGTTGAGCGTCCAGCTCTTGGTTTCAGCTTAGGTCATGATCTTGGGGTCAAGGGATCAAGCCTGCAACAGTCTCTGCTTAGCACAGAGTCCACTGGAGATTCCCTCTTCCTCCCCATGTTCGCGTGCTTGCTCACTATTTCTCAAAAAAAAACAAAAACAAAAAAAAAAAAACACAACAACAAACAAACCAAAAAACCCTTAAAGGTAAATTTGTCCAGCATTCCAATCTATACAGAAATTATCTCCAAAGCCCTCTGACCTTGGTGCTTAAGTACATGTGTGAAAAGACCTCAGTGTTTTGGGCAGAGAAGTCTTGGTAGCCCTCTGGCCCCACCTGACTCTTGAGAAGCTCTGACCATGGTCTGTATGCAGAACACAACTTGGGACAGCCATAAGTGGGTCTTACTTGGGAAGCAGTGTCCTCTGAGCTTTCCAGCTGAGTCCTGCTAGTGAGAAGAGAGCTTAGGCTCTTGAAACTGAGACAGCCTTTAGACAACGATGCTGGGATGGCTTCTAATAGAAGAATGCCGTAAGTACTGTTGACTCTTGAACATGAGGATTTAGGGGTTCCACCTCCCCACATAGTCAAAAATCCATGTATAACTTTTGATTCCCCCAAAACTTTTCTTTTTTTTTTCCCCCCCAAAACTTTTCTAATAGTGTACTGTGGACCAGAAGTCTTATTATATTCAAGGATTCTTTTGGTATATCTAGCTCAGAGATTCTTCAGCCATGACCAGTCTACTAATGAGCCCATCAAAGGCATTCTTCATTTCTGTTACAGTGGGGTGTTTTTTTTGTTTTTTTTTTTTTTTGATCTCTAGCATTTCTTTTTGGTTCTTTCCTGGGATTTTCATCTTTCTGCTTACGTTACCTATCTATTCTTTGCTTTCTTGCATGCTGTCTACTTTACCCATTAAAGCCCTTACCATGTTAATCATAGTTGTTTTAAATTCCAGGTATGATAATTCTTTTTTTTTTTTTAATTTTTATTTATTTATGATAGTCACAGAGAGAGAAAGAGAGAGAGGCAGAGACATAGGCAGGGGGAGAAGCAGGCTCCATGCACCGGGAGCCCGATGTGGGATCCGATCCCGGCTCTCCAGGATCACACCCTGGGCCAAAGGCAGGCGCCAAACCGCTGCGCCACCCAGGGATCCCTTTTTTTTTTTAATTTTTATTTATTTATGATAGTCACAGAGAGAGAAAGGGAGAGCCAGGTATGATAATTCAAACGTCCTTTCCATTTCTGGTTCTGATGCTTGTTTTGCGTCTTCAAATTGTGTTTTTTGTCTTTTGGTATGTTTTATAATTTTTTTTCCTGGTAATTTTTTCCTGATAGCTGGACATAATGTACTAGGTAAAAGGAACTGCTGTAAATAGGTCTTTACTAATGTGGTGAGGTTTGGGGAAGGGAAGTGCTCTACCATCCTATGATAAGGTTTCAGTCTCTTAGTGATCCTACGCCTCTGGGATGTGAACTTCACAAGTGTTTCTCATTTGTTTTTCAACCCCCCTTAGGTGGGACAGTATATCTAGAGTGGGCTTGAACTGGGTATTTCTCTTATCCCAGCTCAGTTAGGCTCTGGTAATACCTTACTTAGCAGGTTAGGTTCCATTAACTAGTTTCCCTGGAGGGTAGGCCAAACAGAGTGCTCTGGCTATTTCAGAATGGTTCCTTTTCTTCTCCTCTTCCCAGAAGCACAAAGGGATTTTTCTCCAGTATTTACTGTAGGAACCTAGTAAAGCTCCTGGAGGAAAATATTATAGTGTTGGGGGCTCCTTTATGACTGGGTTCCCTTGGGTTTTTAACTCTTGAAAGTTGTCAGTACTGAGCTGCTCGTAATTCATCAGTTACAGATCAGGTTTTCTTACCCCAGCACTGGGAAGCCTCTACTCCCTGTATTTATCTATCTGTCTCACCAGTCTTGGGGGCAGCAGTTTGCCAAATGTCCTTCCTTCTTAGGAAGTCAAGAAGAGTTGTTGATTTTTCAGTCTGTTTAGCTTTTTACTTCTTAGTACAGGGTGGTGCTTACCATGCACTCTACATGTGGGACCAGAAACTGGAAGTCTCATTAGATAATTTTAGATGCCGCATCAGGAAACATTTAGCTTACCTCTTTGTTGTCATCGGCCTTGGTCAATATACAGAATGTTGCCAAGTTTTCATATTTTGCTCCTTACAATAACATGTAGAATTGTTTTCTCATCTGCTTTAGCAGACATATTGGATGATCTCTTTGTCTTGTTCCAGATCACTGTCATCTTCCTGAAAGAGAAGTATTATTTACCTGTCATCATTGGAAGTGTTCTTGGTGGCCTTTTGGCTTTGATTATGATCACAGTCATCCTATTCGAGGTCAGTTCTACTCTTGTGAAATAACAATACAGAAAGATTTTCCTAAAACGGAGGTGATGATCATTCTCCTATTTAAATCCTTTGCTTTCTTCCCCTGTTTTTTTCTTTTTTTTTAAGATTTTATTTATTTATTCATGAGAGACACACACAGAGAGAGAGAGAGAAAGGCAGAGACAGGCAGAGGGAGAAGCAGGCTGTCTACAGGGAGCCTGAGTTGGGACTCTATCCCAGGACCCCAGGATCATGCCCTGAGCCACAGGCAGATGCTCAACCACTGAGCCACCCGGGTGTCCCTCTTTGTGAGTTTCTTGATGTATGAGGCCATACTATCCATAATAGGTTGCATACTTTTACATAAATAAGATCCATTACAGCTAAAACTATAATACTTTGCAGAATTTGTTAAAGTTAAAAAGGTTAAGGAGCTTTGGGGATTCAAAGGAAGGTGATTTTTCGCTTCTGACTGGAGAATGAGCACCAAAAAAGGCTTGTGGAAAGGCAGCATTTAAGACAGATCTTGAAGGATCCAATTATCAGGGAGAGATTCAGAGGAGGCATGAAAAGCAGAGGATTATAGGAGCTATTTTGGCAACAACTATATAATGGTTTTCTAAAATATGTGGGCATCTTAAGGTACTTCCCCTCTTATGTTTTAGTGTGGCTTTTTTAAAAGAAAATACCAACACCTGAACTTGGACAACACAAGGAAGGCCCAGCTGAAATCAGAGAATCTGATAACAGAAGAAAATTAGGACCAGCTTCCTCATCTCTTGGGAGAGAACGTCAACCAGTCTTTAAACTTCTAGAGACTTTTTGTTGTTCCTTTTTTTTTTTTTTTTTAAGATCTAGAGTAGAATCTAACAAATTGTGGAATATTGGTTTTTAACCATACATTGTCCCAAAAGTGTGTGTTGTACAGAAAGTAAACTTGGGCAACATATAATATTAAATAAAGTTAAACTCTTTTCTTCACTGAAGTGCCTTTAATATGGAAATATAATATACTTTGCGTGTTTTTCCCCCCAAGAGGAGGTATAGCAATTTCTAACCTTATTTGCCTAAGAATGTTTTTTCTTGTCATTTCTATTAATGTCTCCCAACATAGTGTTCTACAAAGTACATCATGGCAGACAGTGGTCAGAAGCATTTGTAAGATCTTAGATCTAGATTTCTAAGATGTTGCCTATTATTTCAAGTCAGGCCACAAGAAAACACCACCTATAACAAATGTAAAACGAAAGTCGCCAAAACAGGAACTAGGGAGGTGAGGAGAAAACCAAGACTTTGTTCTGTAGTTTCATTTCTGTTGTATGTATGAATAACTATTTAATGCACTGTGCTGATTCTTACCCAGCTTCCTGCTAAGTGAATTCCCCGGGGAGACTTTTGCTCCTTGGTAAATAAATACTGTCAGTGGGAGAGGGCACTCTTCCACAGGAAGGGATGGAAACTGGCCTGGGTGATTAGCACCTAGTTACAGTCTGGCTTTGTTCTTAGTATCTTATTTTTATGCCCCATGCTGTTAAAACTTGACCCCATCTCCCCATTCTTAATCCTGCAATGGAGCAATCTTTGTTTTTTTCATGGATCATAAAAGTTATTGCAAAAATTGGTGTATTGGCATATAATGTAGAAAGTAATCCTTCTTTATCTAATTCAGATGCTTTTTTTTTTTCAGATGCTTTCATTATTTCTTTTAACTTTTACTTTTTTCTGAAATTTATATGTGTAAAAGGTATGAATTAGGGATTGAGTTTTGTTTCTTTTTTTCCCCAGAAGCATAACTTTCAGTGCACCACTTACTGAAATAACTACCTCCTTTGCTTATCCACATTCTCCCGTATCACAGGGCCTAGAAAGCTTTAAACATTTCCCAGACTCCCTTGCAGTGGTTTTCTAATTTTACGTTTTGCCAGCATCAGGCACTTGCATGAAACTAAAGGTGGAAAGACAAATGTTTTTCTTTTGGCTGCAGCAACTGTGGTGGCAGCAGATGAGTACAGACCCCTCTGCAGCAGACACTGTAGCCTCTGGTGGTGGTGGCAGCTTCCTGCAACTCCTGACTTCTGGGTGATACCAACTCCTCTATTTTTATTTTCAAGCCATCCTGACAAATTTGAAATATAACTCTCTTTATTAAATCCCTTTCTGCTTGAAATATCTAGAGTAGTTTCTGTTTTCTTGTTGACCTTGAGTCTAACAATATTATTTCCAATGAATAACAGTCGTCTCTGTCATTTGTTGAAATGCATATTAATAATTTGAAATTATGCTATTTTTTAAAAGATTTTATTTATTTATTCATGAAAGACACACACACATACAGAGAGAGAGAGAGAGAGAGAGAGAGAGGCAGAGACATAGGCAGAGGGAGAAGCAGGCTCCATGCAGGGAGTGGGACTCCATCCCAGGTCTCCAGGATCACGCCCTGGGCTGAAGGTGGCGCTAAACTGCTGAGCCACCGGGGCTGCCTTGAAATTCTGTTATTCCTTGTGAAATTCATACATACACATACAAATTCTGGAAATTTAATTTTGTTTCACTGATCTTTTTGTTCGTGTACCAGTACCACAACTGAAGGAACACTTTCTAGCATTATGCAAATGATAAGTTCAAAATAGCACAAAAGATATCTAAAAAATGAAGTCTCCCTCTTCTCTCTGCCTCCGGTCTCTTTCCAAAAGCAGCCACTGTTTAATACATTTTTCGATAGTCTTTAAAAATATTCCTATGTGTATATCAACATAAGCTTTCTCTCTATAGATATATTTCTTTCTCTATATATAAACCTATATACAAATGGAATTACATTGTATGTCGTGTCCCACCTCCTGCTTTGTCATCTAATAGATTCTAGGTATCTTTCAATAGCAACATCTGCAGATCTACCCTATTCTTTTTAGCAGTTCCATAATACACTATGTTGTATTTACTTAACAAAGTAGATATTTAGGTTGTTTCCATTTCATTTATTGATTTATTGATTTATTTGATTTATTCATAAGAGATACACAGAGAGGCAGAGACACAGGCAGAGGGAGAAGTAGGCTCCCCTCAGGGAGCCTGATGTGGGACTCATCCCTGAACTCCAGGATCATGTCCTGAGCAGAAAGCAGAGCCCAACCGCTCAGCCATCCAGGCATTCCTCCTTTTTTTTATTACAAAGAAAAGATATGGTGAACATCTCTAAACATGTATCCTGCCTACTATGCTTTTCAAGTATATTGATGGGTAAGTTCCTAGCACAATTATTGGCTCAGGAATTGCATGTATTTAAAATTTGGATAGATGAAATAAGTCACAGAAATGGAAGGCATAGGATGGGGATTAAAGTCAGTGGTATCGTTATAGCATCATGTGGTGACTGATGGTAGCTATGCTTGAGGTAGGCATAGCATAACATGTAGAGTTGTTGAATCACTATGTTGTATATCTAAAACATTGTCAGCTATACTTCAATTAAATTTTTTTTGATACATGATGGCAACCTCCAAAAAGTTTTTACCAGTTTATACCACTGTGCCCCTTGCCACCACTGGCATCATCAAACTTTAACTATTTTGCTAACCTGATCATTGTGAAAAATTGTATCCAGTTTTTTTTTTTGTATCCAGTTTTTGATACCAGTTTTCGTTATAATGTTGCAGTAAATTTTGATACCTGATAGGACATTTTCATTCTTAAGGAAATTACTGATTATATTTTTTTCAGGTAATTCTAGTGTCTGTGTTTCAAATATACAGAAGAAGCCCTTTGGAGTTTTAATTTAAATGTACAGATTGGGTTGGGAAGAATTGCTTACTTTACAGTGTTGTTTTCCTACTAAAAAAATATGGCATTTCCTCACTTGCTGAGATTTTTAAAAACACCCTGCAGCCAGGTTTTATAATTTTCTTCAGAGATCTTAATTTATGAAGACTTATTTCCAGCTGTATTATATTTTTAATTACTACTATGAACAATATCTTTTTCCCCTGGCTGATTATAGGGCTTGTATTTAGAATAATTTGTTTTGAATATTTATCTTATCTGGCCATCTTACTGAACTTTTTTTTTAAGATTTTATTCATTTATTCATGAGAGACAAAGAGAGAGGCAGAGACATAGGCAGAGGGAGAAGCAGGCTCCATGCAGGGAGCCCGATGTGGGACTCGATCCAGGGATCCCAGGATCATGCCCTGAACGAAAGACAGACAGATGCTCAACCGCTGAGCCACCCAGGCGTCCCTCTTCTTTATATTTCTTATTTCAGAGGATTTGCCTTTGAACAAAGAAAGAGGTAAGTTTGCTTCAATATTTCCCTGTTGTTGGGCTCAGGAGTTATGTCTAAATTTTCAGTGTTACAGGTAACTTGCAACCCATGCGTTTATACTTTTTTTTTTTTTTATTACAAATAAGACCCTACTGTCATTGTAACAGTCAAGCCTTATATTGACCACCTGTGAGCTATTAACTGATAGCTGTGCTGATCTGACTGGAGTTAAGCCAATGCAATTGTAGTTAAGAGACTAGATAAGGGTCCAGTCTGAAAAGGAAGACACTTAAAAAGAGACATGATTAGATTTTACAAATTTATGTGTTATAGCTTGGGCCAAGGCCTGTCTTTATTCTAAAAGATGCCTTTCAGGGCACCTGGGTGGCACAAGCAGTTAAGCATCTGCCTTTGGCTTAGGTCATGATCCCAGAGTCATGGGATCAAGCTCTGTGTTGGGCTCCCTGACCAATGGGGAGTCTGCTTCTCCCTCTCCCTCTGCCTCTGCTCCTGTGCTCTCTCTCTCTCTCTAAAGTAAAAAAATAAAATCTAAAGAAAAAAATATTAAATAAAAGATGACTCTCTAATGCCAGGCACTTTCCATTTCCTGTTTACCCTCCTCTGCCTGGGAATAGGAAGTGCCAAAGCTCATATAGATCTAGGACAGTGGGTCATGGCCACTGTCTTGACCAGATAAGGACCAAGATGAGGTCAGACTGACACCAGCATGGAGAAAATGCCCCTCATGATTTCTCTATTTTCATTTCCCCTGTTACAGCCTAGTGACTATAGATCCAAATAACATTTTTCTCTTGTGATAACATTGGAACTTTGGATTTGATTGTTGGAGAGATGACATCATACAGATGTGAAAACCTAAACCTGTCAAACGTTTTAGGCCTAATTAAATTTTGAGAAAGGGATGCTTCATATAGCCAAGCCCAGAAGCCTCACATTATCCACATATCTATGCACATCTCTACCCCTACTAAGGAGGGATATTTACTTAAGATCAGGCTATAGGTATTTTTGGGTCTCCTAGCTATAATTAGTAATGGTAAACCATGTAATCGTGCCAGAATTCTACCATTACTTTTTTTTAAGATTTATTTTAAAGAGTTTATTTATTTGACAGAGAGAGAGAGAGAGCACACACAAACAAGCGGTAGTGGAAGAGGGAGAAGCAGGATCCCCACTGAGGAGGGAGCACAACATGGGGCTTGATCCTAGGACCCTGGGATCATGATCTGAGCTGAAGGCTTCACTGACTGAGCCACCCAGGTGCCCCTTTTTTTAAAGAATTTCTCTTTAAATACTCTCTACACCCAATGTGGGGCCCAAGCCCGCACCTATGTAAGATCAAGAGTTGCATGCTCTACCGACTGAGCCAGCCAGCCCTGCTACTGCTTTTAAGAACAGATTTAGTAAATGGAATCAAGCGAAACTTTTTTTATCTGAATTTTTAAAATTTAAATTCAATTAATATATAATGTATTATTAGTGTCAGAGATAGAGTTTAGTGATTCATCCGTTGTATATAACACACAGTGTGGGATCCCTGGGTGGCGCAGCGGTTTGGCACCTGCCTTTGGCCCAGGGCGCGATCCTGGAGACCCAGGATCGAATCCCACGTCAGGCTCCCAGTGCATGGAGCCTGCTTCTCCCTCTGCCTGTGTCTCTGCCTCTCTCTCTCTCTCTCTCTGTGTGTGTGACTATCATAAATAAATAAAAATTTATAAAAAAAATCAATTAAAAAAAACACACAGTGCTCATCACATCCCGTGCCCTCCTTAATGCCCGTCACCCAGTTACCTCATCCCCCACCCTTATCCTCTCCAGCAGCCCTCAGTTTGTTTCCTGTGATTAAGAGTCTCTTATGGTTTGTCTTCATCTCTGATTTTGTCTTGTTTTTTCCTCTCTTCCCCTATGCTCCTCTGTTTTGTTTTTTAAATTCTACATATGAGTGAGATCATTTGATAATTGTCTTTCTCTGATTGACTTATTTTGCTTAGCATAATATCTCTAGTTTCATCCATATTGTTGCAAATGGCAAGATTTCATTTTTTTTTTTTTGATGGCTGAGTGGTATTCCATTGCAGATATATACCACATCTTTATTCAACATTTGATCATTTTAGGAAGAGTAGTTCTAATACCAGGGTTCAGGAAGTAGCTGGATGCACCTAAATAGACAATTCCCAACTTCAGTTGACTAAGTTGACTCTGACCAATGGAAAGATATTTTGGAAAGTACATAAATAATAACACTGTCGTAGATCATAGCAAAAAGTGAAAAACTGGGGCACTTGGGTGGCTCAGTCAGTTAAGCATCAGGCTCTTGGTTTCAGCTCAGGCCAGGATCTCAGGGTTGTGAGGTCGAGCCCCACCTCAGATTCCACTCTCAGCATGGAGTCTGCTGGAGATTCTTGCTTCCTCTGCCCCTCCCACTTGTGCTCTTTCTCTTTCTCAAATAAATCTTAAAAAAAAAAAAAGTGAGAAATTGCCTTTGTCACACCCTGCCTCATCAGAGGCCCTCCTTAGAAGCTGAGGTGAACTGGTTTAGCATATATCCTTCCTGGCTTTATTCTGTACATTTATAAGTATTCACATATATACATAAATAGTATATAGTTTTTGGGTTTGTTTTCTTTAATACAAATAGAATCATATGTTCTGCCATTTGTGGGAATTTGTGACCATTTTCAAGGAACCAGTGTCAGAGAAAAAATGCTGCTGTCAAATGTGGGTAGAGTAGATAGGAAGAGGTGACACCTTGGGTTAATTAGTCTTTGGGGAATTAATAAATTTGCATGGCTCTTTACAGTTTATAAAGAGACCCTTTAAACTTTTTCCAAAAATGCAATTAAAGACATTTTTGTAATTG